GTGTTTGAAAGCGTGTGGCCGTGTGTGAATCAGTGTGGGTTTTTTACTTCGTCTCTCTCGAACATTGGGAATCCGAGACGAAGACCTTCCCGAGCGCAGGTTGCTACATGGCTCAGGCAAGGGGAAGGGTTCTTGGTCATTGTTAGGTTAACATTTCAAGTCAAAATCCACCGCCAAGCTCAGCTTGTGCTCCCCGTCACAGAGAAACCGACATCTGCCACACATAGGAACCCTCCCCCAGGGCATCCGTAAATCATGCGGCTGACCGAGTGCCACGTCACTCCCTGTCATCAGTATTCAAGTGCACATGCCCATCTCAGACTACAGGCAGGAAGAGGTAGGTGAAGTGCAGTCTTCTGGAGGAACTGATAATGCAGAGGGAGAGATTGGACACTTTGTGGTGATGGATTGGAATGCAGCTTGTGGAAGAGGCAGGCGTAGGCAAGATGTCAGTTTTTGGACTGACGTTCAGTGGCAGGTGGAATTCTACAAGAGAACTTTGGACAATGACGGTGCTAATGGTCAGTATTAAAGAGGGGGACTGCAGAAGGTGGTCGAAATGTTTGAACAGGGCAATGGGACATTTTTAAATGGGAATGAAAGAACAGAAATCAAGTCGTGAAAATCAGAGTAACGTTGGAGATGGTTCAATGTCACTGTGGATTGATAACAGCTAGAACAGGTTCTGATTTAAAACTTTCGTGACTGCAGGAATTCATATTCTTGGTTCTTTCGGTAAAGTCACGTAAATAAAAATAAATAAAATACAAATATTACAAAATGTATCAAATAAAATATTAAATTGAAAATTATTAAAGCAATAAGCCCACAATAAAAATATAAAATAAAAATAGTTAAATAAAATAAAAAATTGGAAATAGTAAAAGCAAAAAACTCACAACATTTTGACCGCAACACAAGTGGTCTTATCTCCGCCTGATGAAGACCGCTTGTGTTGCGATCGAAACGTCGTGGGTTTTTTGCTTTTATTATTTCCAATGTATTATTATTTTTTTTATTTAAAATGTATTTTACTTTTTGATTTTTATTGTGGGTTTTTTGCTTTTATTATTTGCAATTTAAATTTGTTATTTGATTTTTTATTTAAAATGTTTTTATTACCTTTTTTATTGTTTTATTTTATTTACGTGTCTTTACTGAAAGAACCAATAATATAGCTAGAACAGTGTCCAGGAATAATTTTGATAGACGGCAGACCCTTGAGAAAAATGTGTTTTCTGATAAGATGGACAAGCAGGGAATTCATAAACAGAATCGTAAACACCTTCATGTAAGCATATGCATTTATACTGGAGGAATCCGATGAGCTATAAAGCTCTATTTCACAGATGTCCAGCAGGTCAGAATATCAGCAGCCGTCCGTCCGTACTATACCCCAGCGGCTTAAGTGGGCCATGCGGCACACTTAAACTGGGACCACTCGACTAGCCTTCCTCATGGAGCTTCACGATTTTTACCGTACCACCATCAGACAGTTATGAAGTCACAGGGTCAACGCAGAAACACGGTAACACGGCCATTTCATTTGGAGCCTCTTGTACTGACGATAAACTTCAGAGCTGTGTTTGGGGGGGCACGGGGGAGTTGGGGGTGGGGAAGCCACGGTGGAAAATTTTGTACTTGTAAAAAAATAAACTAACTTTGGGATAGTACAGCGTAAACTAATGCGGACTGACGTTGCAATGGCTCAGCGTGGGATTGGTATAAAGTCGAATTGCCGTGGAAACGTAGCCTTACACGGGTGGCAGCGCCATTTAATTGGGATGCATGTGGCACAGTACTCCAGGTATTTGTTAGAATGCGGATTTAAAAATAGTACTTCTCATCACGTTGTGCCCTACACTGTTCATAAAAAAGGCGCACTGGAAATGTTGTGAGCAGCGTCTTTTAATGTATTTCCACTGAGAACGGTAACTATCTGTCCAACTTTATTATTCTTTTTTATTTTCGGCAGTTAATTTATAACGAACAGTAAAAAAGTTTGGTAACTTTCACAACCTTTCTCATTCGTTAAAGACTCTTTGTTAGCCGCATGTGCACTTGCGTTCATAAACACGTCGCGGTTCTTCATGCATGGCCTTTAATTTAAAGGGCTTTCTAAATATATGTTTGTGAATAATTGTGCAAGCCTGCCTATTGCCAAATGTAATGGCTAATATAAGTGTCGCTATTAAATGGACTCGTTTTAATTCCAGTAAGTTGTGCAGCAGCATATCCAAGTCCGTTTGGAATCAAAATACAGTTGGCTATTTGCAATAACGAAGGCAGCACTCCAGGTTAGTGGAAGTGATATATTTAGAAGCAGTGGACTTTTATTTTTACTGCCCAGCAGTACTGTACTGTGTTGCCGAGACTGTGCGCTCAATACCTTTGGGGATCATTGAGTTCGTTTCATGAGAGACGAGGTCCAAAATGTCCAAGTGGCTGTCGTTATATGAAGGACATTGAATATTTGAACGTCTGACTTACCACTGGAAGTGTGTACCCGTTTGGGATTTGGTGGCTTATGTTGAAGCCTCTTCCTGTCGTTAACAGATCCGAATATAGCTCTGTTAGTGAACCGATGTGGAAGCGAGTGTCGTACGAGCGACACTATAATTTCCCGCGGCAGTACATTCGTTGTTGAAAGCAGAGGCAAAAGGGACTCTTGAGCTTCGTGTTAATTCGGTCGGCATGTTTCATCGTCCCAGTTGAGTCGACGGCAACCTGTGGAGATTTAGCCGCGTCATAGCCGGGAGATTTCACGTAGCCCACTCTTGATCCAGTCGACTAAAACAGTGTAAAGCGTTTAGTCAGACACGCTTTTCTTATTAAAATGTATCAGGTCAGCCAATTATTGAACGCGGTAAATCTTTTCATATCCACGTACAGACATTTGGCATTTGTGTTCTTCCCAAGTTCGCTGCCGTTACGAATCGCGTTACATTTTCTCGGTGAACTTCGTCCACTCGCAGTCGTCGTTGACCAACAGGCAAATAAAAACAAATCAACATCGACAAATATTGTCGTCGTCACCACCTCTTCCCGTTGGTGTGGCAGCGAGGCCGCTGTGGCTGAAGGGCCACCAGGGGGCGACTCCGCTTGATGCGACGTTCTGACGGCATCGCAACGTTAGGGTGTCACGCCGCACAACCAACACGGTTCGTGCTGCGGACCTCGTAGGCCCGTGCACAGGATGGCTGGTGAACAATCATTATAATTATACGGCTGTGAATTGAAGCTTTGGGATTAAATACATGAAGGGCTCTCATGTGATTTCTAAGGGGGGTGAGGGGGGCTGTCCCCCCAGTGAGGTTGTGTCCACCGCTGTCGACGCAACGATCCACAACCACCCCTCTGCTGCCACCCAAAATCATGTTCTTGTTATCTGTACCATTTTATTGAAAATAAAGTTCACAAAAACTTTAGCTCTTTCCCTGCTTTGTTCACGTTGATCAGCTTCACCGCATATTTAAGCAACATCTTTATCGCGATAGTTTGCTGTTTTGTTAAACTTTGCGCTGATTATGAGGTTGTTGCATAGGTGAATGATTTATTTTACGGTAATTTTGTTTTACAAATTTAATAACGTATTCCTTAGATTTCAGTGATGTAAAATGTCCAGCGGCGTTGGCGTTGGTGCAGATTACCGATTCCCTGGCAGAATGTGTGAGATCTGCACAATCAACTCGCACTGTCTCTGGTGAAAATTTGTATACTGGCAAAAGTATATTTTTTATGTTGTTTCACAGATCAAGCAATATGTCTTCTTACAATGTTGGCTACTCTCCAAACTAGAACTTTTTTTATTTTGCTGTGCATTTGCTTAGTGTATTAAAAACTGATAACAAGGAAGCACATGGCTTCAGCTGATTGCATGGTGATGCAAGAGATCTTTTGGAAATAATGGAATTGTGAAAAAAATTAAAGGCTTCAAAACCAATATTTAAATTATTTAATATGTTCACAAACATGTAAGTGGACTGTATGTCAGAGTGTTTGCCCTATATGATGTCATCACCACCACCACCATCCTCACCGAGACGTTGTTTATATAACACAGTGGCTGTTGAGGGCCATCTGAAAATAAAACGACTGTTTACGTTACGAGTTCTCAAGAAAAGTAAATTGTTTATTTGGTTTTCATTTCCTCGTCTCATTCCCCAAAATGTGCACCTTTTGAGTCGCCCCAAATACCACCACCACTCCCAATCATTACCTGGTGCAATATGCCTCGTTAGTTTGTTCACATTGTAATGTTTCTTTTCGTCTGAACGTCTACCGCGTTCTGTTATGTCGTTGCCTGTTCCCCCGTTCGGATCACTCCGATGTCACGGTCCTTGTTCCCGTGCTGACAGCACCACGGATGTCCCTTGCGAACTAGCTGGGTGGCTGGCGACACTGGGATTTTCCACGTACAGTGAGGGAAAAAAGTATTTGATCCCCTGCTGATTTTGTACGTTTGCCTACTCACAAAGAAATGATCAGTCTATAATTTTAATGGTAGGTATATTTGTCTCTCACTGTTCAAATAAACCTACCATTAAAATTATAGACTGCTCATTTCTTTGTTAGTGAGCAAACGTACAAAATCAGTAGGGGATCAAATACTTTCTTCCCTCACTGTAACAAATAAAACATTGATTGAATGAACAATCAAACTTTATTTCTATAGCACTATTCGTGCAAAAAAATGCAATACGTAGTGCTTTACAGGCATGAACAATAAAAGTGAAATTGTAGGCAAAATAAAATCGCGTAGCAAATTTCTGGAAAACATCTAAAAATAACACGTTAAGAAAGTCCTATTTAAAAGCCGACTACTGCACACCATAGCCTCTGATAACAACTCGCGGCTTGATAATGTTGTATTGACGACGACGGCGATGCTGGGGTCTGGTCAGTGTCGTGCGGTCGCAACGCACGGAGCGGTGGGGCGCCACGGAGCGGTGGGGCGCCATGGTGCGGGCCAGGCCACTGAGCGGCTCCCTCTGTCGCAGGCGGCGGAGCACCGCGTGGCTGTGGGCGCGGGAGCGCGCGATGGTGGCGAGCCGTTGGACGTGGCTCACGGCGCAGGTGTCCGACCTGGAGTACCGCATCCGGCAGCACAACGAGCTCTACCGCCAGATCCGCATCGGCAAGGTAAGTGTGTGTGTGTGCGTGTGTATGTGTCGGAGACGCGCGCCGCATGGCGCTCATGAAATTTGCTAAATTTGATCAGTTATGGGTCACTTAGAAAATAATAACCGCGGCAACGTCTGTCCCCTACCGGCAGACTAATGCCCCTTGATAGGCTGGTGCTGCGTAGGGGGACAGCTGCCACTTGGGGGGGGGGGGGGGGGTCGCTTTACATGACTCTAGCAGGGCATTGGAATGATTGAGATCAAATATTTATACTGGAGGAATCCAATGAGCTATAACGCTCTTTTTCACAGACGTCCAGTAGGAGCATGGTGTCCTACGAATGCACACGCCTGCCACACCACCGACGGCCTTTTGCCCATGGTGGCCGCCCCCTTAATGCGCTCTCCAGCCTCAACGCCGCGCGGATTCCGGCATCCGACGAGATTGGGCGCATTCCGGGCGATTTGGTCGCGGGCGCCTTCCTTCGTAACACGGAGGCGCGCTGCACACAGTGCCACCACTGTGTTCGGAACGGACGCGCGGCGGGTGACCCGTCGCATCGGGTGACCCGTCGTGACGGGTGACCCGCCGCGTCGGGTGACCAGTCGTGACGGGTGACCCGTCGCGTCGGGTGACCCGTCGCGTCGGGTGACCCGTCGCGTCGGGTGACCCGTCGCGACGGGCCGGTGGCTTCGTCGAGCCACGGCGGCCGCTCGGCGCTCAGCGCACGCTTTCCTTGCAGGGTCCCGTGGTCCTCGGAGACCTCCAAGCCCCCGAGGACGTGACGAGACCACACCGGAGGCTGCCCGGTACCGGCGCCGGCGCCGCCGCTTTGCCGCTCGCCGGTGAAATGGGGGGCGGTCGCGTGGAGATGTCCGCCTGCAGCCCCGCTCTGCTGCTTAGCAACCTCCACAAGCAGGTAGTCACCTGTGGGTTTGTTAGCGTGTGCCCTGGAAACAGACCCTCTGGGGGAATATGTACAGCAAACATGCACTCGGACCCCATATGTGAGAGTCGTGGGGGTACTGTAGCCCAGTTTGGGTGGCAGGCTCGCGCTGTGGTAACACTCGTGCCTCGCAGCAAGAAGCGCCTGGGTTTGAATGCTGACTCGGGTGCCTTTTTGCGTGGAGTTTCTGTGTTCGTCCCCTGTGTTGCATGGGTTTTCTCTGGATGCTTTGGTTTCCTCCGATGGCCAAAACAAACCAAAGTTACTGGCGTATCGGTCTAGCATCCCAGTGCTGAAAAGAATTACCTGCAAATGACTCAATGGTGATTGCACATGGCACTATGCCCCCTGCAAAACACTTGGCAGGACCCCCCTGAAAAAGAATGTTGAGACTCAGCGGTGTTCTCGTGGGCAAGCGAGTGCAAGGCATTCTGGTTTGTGGGGAGTTGGTGTTCCAGCCTGTGTTGCATTCTCTTGGGAAACACGTTTCACTCGCCGACAACATTTATTTAAAATGTATTTGCCTTAGAATTACAGGCAATTCTCACTTTAATCGTAATCTGTTGAAGCCTCAACGATGCTTTCTCAGGTAATGACAAAAAAAGATGAATAACTTGATGAATATTCGTTGGTTCTTTCGGTAAAGTCACGTAGATAGGAAAATTACAATTAAAATAAAGAGAATGAAAATAAAATATCAATAATAAAAATGAAAAAAACACTAATGTAGACTGGAGCCTGGTTCTTAATCGGAGTGAGTGTACTGGCAGTCTATAATGTAGACTGTAGCCTAGTTCTTAACCTCGGTGAATGTACTGTCAGGCTATAATGTAGACTGTGGCCTGGTTTTTAAGCTGGTGAGCGTATTGGCATTCTATATTAGTGTTTTTGTATTTTATTATTTTTATTCACTTTATCTTTATTTATTTTATTATTTCTATCTACGTGAAAGAACCAAAGAATATGAATTCCTGCAGTCATGAAAGTTTTAAGTCAAATTTTAACTTGATGAATACTTAATTAATAACTTGCTGGGCCTTAATTAGCACGTGATTGTTCGAAACATCTAAATAAAGCAACTATTTAGTATTACGTAAATATGATCTATCATTTCAGTATTGCTTTTCATGGGTTGACTGTATTCTTTTTGTTATTGTTGTTTTCTGTAAAAAAATTGCACATCAGGCCACTGGTGCATTTAAGCGGGATGGTTATACCTTAACATATACAGCGTTTTATTAATTTACAGCATTTTAGTGCGTAAAATGTGTAACTTATTGAAATGTGTTTCATGAGTGAATCGTAGTCTGTGATCTGTAGGAGTAATACTGCTGCATCAAAGGCGTTTGGGATGCGTCAGCGAAGTTGGACATCTGCTCATTTCATCTACTCGGCTTATTACGTAGCAGATGGCACCGCATTTTTGTCACACACAAGCTCGGCTGTGGTCTTTGCAGAGCAGATTACAGAGCCTGAATATGAACATGGCTCATTGTGTCAGTACCTCTGTTGCTAACGTTTGGCACTGCTGTGCGTTTGATGGATGGTACAGGGAAGAATGGACTTATGGGACCAACTACATTTACATCATTATAAATGTGTTGACGAAGGCTTCCAACTTGTTCGAATGTATCTCTGTCTCCGTCGACACCAGTGATGGGAATTTGCTGCTCGCTCCACAGGGTCCTGTGTGGTCCCTATGGGCCGGTGTGCTCCAGGCAGGGCTTCCCGCGCTCCACCCCGCAGTCAGTCGAATGTGGCGTGCTTCTCTTCCGTCGCCCATTGTTTTTTGTCAATCTCGCTGTAGTTGGGTGGCTCTGTGGATTCGTTTTTTACGAGCTGGTAAAAGCCCTGTTTCGCAACGGTGCATGTCACAGTGGCCCCACCTGCATGGCACAGTCACCGCACGTGTGTGGGTGTGGGGAGCGGTAGTGAGTGGTTAGTGCACTGCACTACAAATCCAGCGACTCCAGTTCGATTCCCACTCGTGACGAAATTCGAGTGGTGAATATCTGCACCGGTATCTTGCTTCCCTTAGGTTGTTTCAGTCTAAAATCAGTACCTGGTGCAGTGTGTGTAAACATCAGCACTGGGGAGACAAAGGTGGCCGGGCTGCTCGCTAACATCACTTACCCCAACAGTCTGCTAAAGGCTTAACGAGGATCTTTGTCTCTGTTCAAGTGACGAAGTAATTTTTCTTATGACTTGTGCTCCAATGCTGTGTGTTGACAGAGCTCACGCCTTAAGCAAAGTCTAGGCGGCATGGTCTGTCCTCTCAGCCGAGCCTCGTCTCCACAGCCCAAACCTTCTCCACCGCAGCTCAACGGTGTTCTGGCCAGGTACGTCTCTCACTGCTGTCTGCAGCCCCACACAACTCGCGCACGCGCGCACACACACACACGTACCAGGAGCATGGTGCGCAGTGTTGCGGCGTCTCTAGGCCACGCAATACTGGGATGTGAAACTACAGAGGCAGTTTGTGCAAGAAGACACGCGTGCAAGGTGACGTGCTGAAGATCCAATGTCTTCGTACAGTTTCTTTATTGGCATGTTCAAGTAAACGACATATCCGTCTGTTGATTACTTTATCAAATCTCCCCTGAAAGTTTTTGTACGTACTGTATGTTGAACTTCTTTTGCACCAGCCATGCTAATAAGAGGTGCGGGGGAAGGACAACAAACTAAGTAAAGAAGTATTTTGCTCCTTGCATTGCCACGTCACCTCGGCCGCTCTGCACACGGTTTTTAGGGAGGGATGCTTAACACGTCAGGAGGCCCTGAGGATGCCCACTGCTAAACACACCTCCAGCGGTTGAACAAGGGTGACCGAGTTGATGCTCTTAAACGTTCAGGGCAGTCGTCAAATATAACCTTTGAATATCTGGCCAGCATGCGTGTTCACACGTTTGGGTAAACTGGTGAGGACAGTGAGCAGAGGAAGCAGACATCCCTGGACACAATTTGGCTCCAATTTTGTTCGTCCAATAAGTACCATGTAGAAATAAGAATGGATTTAGCCACGAGTGGGTGGAATTAATGTGAGAGTAGACTGATGTACAGATTGATTCCATTGCTACTCAGGGCTGAACGAGTGGGTGACGTTACATGGGCGTTGTATATCGTTTTGAGTCACAACGTAAAGCCGGCAGGGCGCTTCTTACCTGAAGATGCCTGTTGCAGTGATTACGCAGGAGGTTAAATCCGCTCGTTTGTGATTTTAATGCAAACCGCTAACATCTGCACTCTGGCCGGTGAACCTGCGCATATGTGTCTGTGTGCGTGTGTACGTGCGTGTGTGCGTGCGTGTGTGTGCGTACGCGTGTGTGCGTACGCGTGTGTGCGTACGCGTGTGTGCGTACGCGTGTGTGCGTACGCGTGTGTGCGTACGCGTGTGTGCGTACGCGTGTGTACGTACGCGTGCGTGCGCGTGCAGCTCGTCGAGCTGCACGCGAGGAGGAGATGCGCCGCCGGACGGCTCCGACGCCGCCAAGCGCCGCCCCGCCGTGGTTTCTCGTGGGGCCCCCGCGCCGCCGTCCCCGCCCGGCAGCTCGTCGTGCGTGGCGGCACGGACGCGGCCCCTGCGGGAGCTGCGCCGTCGGCGAGTGCTGCGAGCCAGCGACGCTTACTTCCTGAGCCGCAAGGTTTGTGGTGCAGATGCAGAGGCGGGGGTGGGATTGCGCGTTCCCAAACGTCGCTGAAACAAAATCAAAACCCTACGCGGTTATTAACTAGCTTGTGGAGTTTGCGGAGGAAAGTTGAAAACAGGTGGTGGTGGTGGTGTTAAAGCCTTAGTGGGGAGCGCTAGAGTAGCGGTTCGCGCGCTGCGCTACCAATCCGGTGACCCGAGTTCCATTCCCGCTCACGGCTAAAACCATTAACGATGATCTGAACCGGGCCTGAGCCTCTCCTAGGTCGACTCAGCTTCAAATGAGTACCTGGTGCTGTGTGTAAACAACGCCAGTGAGGAGCCAAAGGCCGCCGGGCGTGGTGCTGGCCACCCACCCCCTCGTGTGCCGTTCCGGCCTTCATAGGTGCTCGCTTAACAGCACTTGCCCCAACAGCCTGTTAAGGCTATATGGGGGATATTTGTAGCTGGATGCAGGGCCGCGGATGGGATGAGCTGCTGCGAGTTGTTTGAGCGGAACTGTGCCACTTCAAAAAGCGAGTCATATTGCCGTGGTCAGTTTTGGTTGCCGTGTGGTTCGACAATCGTAAATGTTTTCTGTGTGTAGGGACGTGCCTGCATCTCTTGTAGCTTGTGATCTTGCAAATACAGGGCTCTCTGAGGCTAAGCAGGTTTATTTATAATTCGTAGATAAAAATGCAACTGACAAATGTGTGTCTGGAAAAAAACCCATCGTGAGCAAACCTAACCAAAGCTAGATTTTAAGTTTTCGTGACTGCAAGGATCCATACTCTTTGGTTCTTTCGGTAAAGTCACGTAGCTAAAAATGTAATTAAATAAAACAAAATTAATTAGTTGTTTTTATTTTTTGTTTTAGTTAATTTAATTTTTACCTACGTGACTTTACCGAAAGAACCAAAGAGTACTAACCAAAGCTCCTTAAACAATGGGGTGATAATGTGATTGTTTTATTCTTTTTCAAATGGTATTGTCTGGGGTCAGGTTGGATGAACAATCAGAATCACCTCGTTTGTTAGTTGTGCAATATTCACCAAGTACCCTGTACTGATTTTTGTCGTTGTTGTCGTTGTTGTTGTGCTCACGGCACCACGGAGCTCCCGTGTAAAATAGCCCAGAAACGAGTCAAACGGGACCATCCGTGTAGCAGAATAAAATAAACTGAAACTCAGAATGACCCAATCAAGATTGTCACATCCTAATCAGCTGATCAGACTATGGCTGACCATAGCTGATCAGCTGCTTGGCTTACAAGTATTCTTTGCAGTGGTGTGAAAAAGTGAATCCTTAATGCACTAAAAGCATCGCAATATTGATCCTTAAGTACCTTATAAAAAGAGCCAAATGCATGTCCAGTGTTATTATTGTGAAGTGGGTTACAATTGCAGACAACGGATGTTCGATTCCCAGCGGGTGTGATAATTTTAGTTTATGTATTTAACAAAAAAAATCCTTATTTTTGAATTAATACATGTTTAAATGTGTATATTATTCGTTTTAATTACTTAAAAGCTAAAAAGAACAAGGGGCATCTGAGAGTTGAATTGGCCATCTGTTGTGAGTTTCATGCATTATATTCACATTCATTTTATTAATACATATTGAGGAAACAGTTTATTTCTCATCATAACCATATTACTTAAATAATAGTAAAAAAAATATCCTTTTTTGTGTAGTCGTACTGTAGTGTTGGGATGTTGCTGTCATGTGACCAGGTGCAAGAAGATTAAGATTAGGCCTGATTACACAAGAAAGTGAATGAAGTCCAATCCGACCTGACCCATGCACCCTGAGCAATGTCCCATAACCAAAACACTTTCTCATCTGAAGTAAGAGCAGATTAATGCTGATATTTGACAAAGTATGCAGAATCCATTTGAAGCACTGATTACTTCTAGTTCGCATGCTCTCTGTGGGTTCATCACATCGAGAGGCAGTCGGCACATCATGCCACCCATCGTGTTAAGCCAAAGTTCACGTCGCTAAGTAACTTCTAATTATAATTTATGAATCATCGTGCATCAGTGTAGCCCTTGCGGCAGCACCTAAGCCGATTCTTCAGTTGGCACGTGCATCTTGGGTCTCACGTCTTGGTTGAGCAACGATGTGTGCCCGGTGGCACAGAGCACCCAACTCACAAGCAGATGGTTAGGAGTTCACATCCAAGTCAGAGAGTTGGAGTGGGGCGGGGGGGTCAACTAAACCTATCAACCTTCGGGCTGATAAAATGAGCACGACTTTGGAAGGCAGAAGTGGTTGTTCTGTGGAGGGACTGGAATTTGCCAATGTGTGTTCTTTACACCACTCACTCAGGGCTACCAACATAGATGAGCAGATGTCTACACTCGATTGAGTAAGGAGATGCCAACTCTCTTGAAAGCTGTATATATATAATACACACACGTAGCACGTCCCAGTTGACTCGTCACACATGCTGTGTGCTGCTGTTGTGCCATGCCACGGGTGTGCAGGCGCAGCGGCCGGTGACTGTGAGGTGCAGCTGTGAGCAGCCACTCAGCTGCATGGTGTGCGTGTCACCGTACACCACGCAGCAGCAGCAGCAGCAGCAGCAGCCCATGAACCTGGACACCATGACCCTGCCTGAGAGGGCAGCAGTGCTCAGCCCATCCACCCATCCCGTGCTCTCTCTCCCAAACGGTGCGTCGCTCCGTCTTGCCCAAGCGTCCGCGCCGTGCGGGCTGCACTAGGGGTCACGCAGCGGCAACAGTAGGAGCCATGGGGTCAATAGCTAAGCGGGGCTTGGTGCTCGGGGGTCCATTGGTGATTTACAGGATGTGCACAATGTCACTCGCCCAACTCGGATCCGTTTCACAAGGAAATTCTCTAACGCTTGAGATGTGATCCGATGTGTCTCTCTAATGTTCTAATGTGCGTACAGAATTTGGCCAAGCATCTTGCGTGTGCAATAGTTTGCTTACATTACAGCCTTTCTTCACCTGTTGCCTTCTTGCTGTGTATTTTCATAACTCAATCAAATTTTGCTTCACTGGTGTGACATCTTTCGTGGAGCATCGTGTGATTTGAAATGTAGAGGAAGCAGAAGTCACTCCCAAGTGTTTCAATTGATTAACCAAATGCCACTATTGCTGGATTATGAAAAGTACGCTATGTTCCTTTGGCATTCCATACTGAAAGATTATTTTTAAACAAAGATCATTAATCAAATATTGAAAGTAGTTTTGTATGTTACACACTTACGAACCTCCACTATAATTTGCACGCGTGTCTGTTCCTTGTTACGTTTAGTTTCTATTCGTGGTCACCCCAGGTCTCCCTCGAAGACTGTGCTCATCTCAGTGGGATCTTGTCTGGCTGTTGGAAATAGAGGCCACTATCCAGTACCATAATTTTAGGGTACTTTCCATTGATAAAGAACACAATTCACTCCCTTGAGTGATGTATACAGCATTTCGGATGTTAGAGCACAACAATACATCATTACTCAGACTGCAATCCGTCTGCCAGTTGTTGTCATACTGCAAATTGACAATTTTTTTACTCCGACCCTGGAATTGATGATGTGGTCCTTTACGGTTCCCGCTCACGTCAATAAAATCCGGGCAGTGTGGCCTCCCTGCTTCATCGCTTGGTTTGATCCTTGCAATGCGGTGGGTAAATGTTACGTATCTGGCCGGCATGTTTCACTTGGCAAGCACCGTTGTACATTAAATAGACAAAATAATACGTCATGGTTTTATAAACGAGATTTCGTGACGCGGTTAGAAAGAGAGAGTTAGGCCACGTGTGTGCCGACACCATCAGCCAAATGTGCCAACTCACTAAAAATCAACCTGCAAATCGCTCAATTGGGAGAACACCTCAATCATCGCCTCGTCATTCCCGCCTCTGAAAATAGCACCTTCGTGATGACCCTGCGATCTAAGAGTTACACCAACACCCTGTGTACTAATGGTTGATGATAATAATGGATCCACTGTGATGCAGTAGAACTCAATGGCAATTGTCGCCAATAATATAAAAATGTGTTCTTTCAATCCGCGATTGTGCTTGTTCTCCACCCTTCTGCCTGGTGTCTGCACCCTAACTCCATCTCTTCTGATGTGGTAAAGAACACGTTTGCTGAACATGAAAGCATACCACACTCTTCTTTATTGTCCCTGGCAACAGATGCTTGCCACTGCCATTCGCTACATGAATTACCGCCGTTGGAATTTTCGCCATTGATTTCCTGTAACAAAAAATAACAACTCATTTACATTATTAAGCCGCTTTCAAGAATTGTTATTCCAGCCCCATTTACTCACTTGTCAAACGTGCCTCCCCTCATTTATTATCCATTGCAGTAGTAACAGCAACATTGATACTTGCTCTGCCGTGCTGGAGAAAAGGCTAGACAGTGCAATGATTCATATGCAAGGACTCCGACAGTGGTACACAAGGAGAGTTAAAAACAACTGGCCACATGCATTATTAATGCTGCCTTGTAACAGAGAGCACAGAAATCTGACGTTTTGGCCACTAGCCTTCTGCTTTGAAAACTAGTCCTTCTGCTCTGAAGGGTGCCCATTGCCGGAAATGTCAGCCATTCATGTATGTTTCTGTTATAAAGCACTGTTCATGTGCTTGTGTAAGGCTTGGACAACTTTAAATTATGTTTTACAGATAGAGTACATGCAAAATATTTAATAGGTTATTTCTCATTTCGCTTGAAGCAAAGGTTCCATTATTATAAACATTTGACAATTATTTACTGGTTTGTGAAGGTTTGCTTTGGCGTGTCTTGGGTTTTGCACAAGCTGGGATGGTCTTTCATGAGAAAACTGAGAGAATGTTTTTTTGCATTTGTGACATTCAAGGGCACTGTCACGACGCGATTCTGAATCGCACTGCCCCAATGTGCGTAGTTGGGGAAGCTTTGAAGCGGACACGACCAGCGAGCTCTCCGTCACGTTCACTTCTGCCATCCACATCAAATGCACGAGGGGGTTTATGCAACGCTTACACCGATCCAGACCCGAAGTAGATGCGCACCCCTGTTCACAAAGGGGACCCGTAACTTCATCTGTCGTGGAACACGTACACCGTGGGAACTCCATAGCTGTGCACGTAACTTCACGACGAGGACGGCTTGAAATCAGTGGCGGCTGCTCGTTGTCTACCAGCTGTATTCTGGGGGATGTTAGCGGGCAATCATCACAGGAGATTGCAGCTGCCGCATTGCTCTGGATTGGTAATGTTTTTTATTTATGTGGGACGTATCTGTGAGGGGCTTTGGTAGCGCGCTCACCACTTGTTCCGTAGGTTCGCGGTTCGAATCCAGCGGCCGCCCTGGTTATTACTGCGGGTGTAACATCCGTTATAATACTACACACCGTCTGCTTCACAGATCTGACGTACGTGGTGTAAGCCGATTGTTTTATTTGAACAAAAAAAGTTTACTCTGGCAGATAATAAAACCTGCTATGCAATTTTACTTTCTAAAATCTCTGTCTTTTCCCCCTCAATGATATACCGATTGTGCTACCCCCCACGTGTTCAAGAACAGACTGGGATATGCATAATTCTTCTAAAATCATACAAGGCAATGTTTGAATGCTCAAAAATGGGCATTGAGTTGGTGTACATCTTCTGTTAAAAGCCCCCTGAGTTAGTGGTGGAAATTCCACATTCCTATAGCGGAGGGGTGGGGGGTGGGTAAGTAGTTTCATAGGATAACCACTGTTTAAAATGGTTCCTCGTTGTTGTTGTTTTTTATCAAACCTCTGTATATGTGGCCCAGAGGGATGTTGGACTGAGTGAACCCCCAACGAGGATTTAAAATTTTGCAACATTTCGATTGTGCGCCTGTCGCTCCACCCGCTAAGCCGCTTGGCCAAAATCTCTTCAATTGACCTTCACAGTAGGAGGCAGCACCACCACCACCACCCTGTTCCAGAGACACATGTTTGTCACGTGGCAGTCAAATCGATATTTTAGTATCTCACAAGTTGAAATTTAGCCAAATCAGGTGTTCCGCGAAATCTATTTTACGTGCTGTTATTGGTGATGGGGCTGAGAGCCACAAACTCACAACCCGCGAACCCAGCTTAAGGTGGCTGCCTGGATCTGAACCCAGAATTGCATTCATTCAGCAGTGCCAGCTCCGATCTCCTAGCCACGGAACTCCTCCGCCTTCACTGTATTTTTCTTTTATAAACAAACAAGTTCTGTAAGAAGTTAAAACACCTAACTTAAACCTTTTGCAAGGACTCATGTCTGCATTAACCACAGACACTTGTGGTGAAAAGACAAACAAAACATGCTCTGAAAGTATATGCATTATATTCTTGGTTCTTTCGGTAAAATCACGTAGAAGGGAAACAGTACAATAATGCATTGTCTTTGAAACTGATTGGTCCACACCAGAGGCTGCTTTCTTTAGTGCCTAGTCTCACACGGTGTCAGACCAGAGGATGCCAAACGGCGAACAGCACAAAGACAATGCCACTATCAGGACAACGAGAGCTCGGGGTGAGCAGCTACATCATGGGACCTCCCTTGCCAGTGTCAATATATAAGCAGGTCCCATGATGAAACAAGTTCTGTTTTAGCCCCAAAAATATGAAATAATAATCTCAGAGCAATCAGCCAGTTGGCCTTCAAGAGCAATGTTTTTTACAATTGCATGCTGTTTGAACACACTGCCAATACAGCGCTTCATATTGTGATGATGGTGGTGAAATTGATGCTTTTTTGCTTGTGGACGACATCCAAGACAATTCCTGGTTCTTTTTCATTTAATTGAACCCTTGACATTTTTTTATTTTATGTTCTGTTCTACTTGGCGGAAGTGCAAATAATTGACCGAAGGCAACTTCTCCTTTGCAGATATCCCTCTACACCTGCACTTCCAGAGTCTGATGAAGCGCGCCGAGTGGCACGAGCGGATGAATCCCAAACCCAAAGTGCCAGCCAGCAGCAGCAGCAGCAGCAACAACAGCAGCAGCAACAACAACAACAGCAGCAGCAGCAGCAGCAACAACAACAACAAGAGGCCAACAGGCGTCCCACGACCGTGGACAGCCTCGCCAGGCAGCCCTGCCGAGCGCAAGCAGCGCCACAAACCTGACGCCTCCCTGCTGACCACCAGTGAGCTTGGGGGGGCGGGCAAAGTGTTGGGCCGTTATCGCTCGGCACGATAAGTGTCGTTGCGAATTCGCCTGATAAAGCTGCTTGCAATCGCCAGCGAAATGTCACAGTACTCCAATTGTAAATGTTGTGGGCTTACTCTGCAATGCATCGGTGTGCTGAAGTAATAACTTGTCACGTTTTGTTTACGTGACAGACTTACCAATTGGCTGCGTCAGATAGTGGTGGGTTAATGACACGCATTTTTACTCACGTGATCCAACAACCCCCCCCCCCCCCCTTTATTATGGACACGACAGTGGTGAGACTACAGCCACGGTCCTCTGCTCAGCACCTCGCCAGTCCCCCCGTGTTTGACAGCAGGGTGTCCACACGTGCGTACACTCTTGTCCCGTGGCTCCATTTACATTTTCGGCACTTACTGAACTTGTGTCGCGCCATGGTCGTTGCAGTTTGACTGTGGAGATGGGTGTTGCCCACGGTCTCGTAGTGTTCAGTGTCTTAGCTCAAGAGTCGTAGAGCCAGTCTGATAGACAAGCCACAGGGAATGTCTGTGCAGCCACCACGGGAGAATTGTATCTTGGTATGAGGAGAAGCACAAGTGCTTTGTCTCGTATGCGTGACGTTTCCTGGCTGTGGGCATCAAGGTCACAATCTCCTGGCTTGGCAGTACAGCAAGTGGGTTAATTTTCACCTGTACAGGGATTGTGTTATCCCACTCTTGTTCTGTGGGGTTTCTCCAGGCACTTCCCTCCTACACATATAAACACTCATTTTCTGGAGCTGTCTAAATTTCCCAATACAGGGCCACAGAGTTTGCACTGCTTGGCAGCAAGTCTGGCTGCCTTCCTCCTTATCTTGTTGTCAAATCCAACCTTGTTCGAGATGCATTTTGCGATATAGAGTTGAGTTGACCAAGTTTGCTCTTTTCCACGGTGCAGAGTGCGACTGGAGTAAGGCATGCGTGGATCCGTCGCTGTGGCAGTACCTGGACAGTGTGGAGCGAGGGCTTTCACCGCTGGACTCCTTGGATACAGATGGGGAGGACGGTGGCCACTTCAAGAAAAGGAGGCGCTCTGGGCACAGCCCCCTCGGTGGGTATTGCATCTCTGTCCATTTAAATCCGCTGCTAGTCTGCCTCTCCATGTGATAAAACTACACATCACCAGTGTAGTCACCCAGGGGAAATCTTCTGTTGACACCGCGGTGCCTTTTTGTCGGCATGCCTCTGAAACAACGGGGATAGGTTACTGCCGCGTAGGTGTCTGCAGTTGCGCTGCGTGGCCCTCCGTTGTAGTTTTGAGGCAGCATTACGTAACCGTGGGGGGAACGTGAGCTGCTCAGGGCCTGCAGAAGCTCCCAGCGCGCCGGGTGAAGTGTTGAACATCGTGCCCAACGACGCTTGGCACAACCAGAACGTGCGAGAGCGATAGGAATATACTCGGTCTAAAACCCATTTGTTCGCTACAATTACGGGGCCACGGCTGAACATTCTCAACCCAGCATTTATGTTCAGTGCACAACATTGAATGTCACAATCCTGGTTGAAACCCTGATTGTATAACGCTCACCTCTTTGCAGAAAGTTGTAATGCAGCAAACGCCATACATTGTTGGCGTCACTCGGAGCACAATCTCCCCAGGTGTGTCCACGCGTTGGCACGTCATGAAAACCTTGACTCACCACTGAGGGGGATTTGTAGAGCCGTGCCCCACACACGCCATCGTAAATCCAAACCACCCAAAAAAAGGGCCGAGTACAGAAGCCCTCTTTTATAAGAGGCATGGAGCTGCCCCTAAACCAGCCCGTGCAGCCGATGGTATGTCACTGGCCGCGTAGGTTTTGTGTTTGTGTTCACTGTGGCTTCTTTTTTGCCATCACACCTGGCGCGCTAGGGGATCGGTGGACATTTAAACCCAGTGACTCACATAGTGAGACCGATGTCAGTATTAGGTTATTTATGTGAATAGACATCCATAATTTTGTTACTGTTATCTGCCAGCTGGCTCCGTTATGAACTCGGATAAGAGTGTTGGATGCACAGAACAAGGAGACTAAATATTAACAGATGGAGTTGTCCTTGACGCATCTTTGCATATGGTTAGGGTTACATTGGGAAAAGTTTATTTGATTGTCATCTTATTGCCTTGAGTTGTGGACACATTAAACAATACTGTTTACTCTAACTTTGCCCCAGCGTTTCACACACATTTACACATCAGTTATTTAGACTAACAAAAATTGTCTCCTTTTCCTTTATGCATACTTACACTCTGTAAGTAAATTATAATTCATCACCATCATCATCCCTGGGTCGGTCCACTGCTGAATGAAGGCCTCCCCAAGTTACGGCCGTCTCTCACGATCTCGATGCAGCAGTCCACCTATCACGCGGACGCGAGCTGATTTCACCGCTCCATCTCCTCGGTGGTGCTACTCTCCGACATCTTCCATCCTTGGCTGCCACGGGTGCAGTCATTTTCAAATTATGGCTAAAATAGTGGCTCACTTAAAATGAGCGTACCCAATGACAACACATTTCGCAGCTTCATATGAAATGTTTAGCCGACAGTACCCTATGTCGATGATAAATTCGATCATGGAAAGTCCTAAGAAACGATTGATCAATACATTGGCACGTAAACGTGAAATACTTGTAGGGTGGTGGAGGGTTATTGACAATTATGGCATAAAACTACCACTTGACCCAAAACTACCACCTGGCCTAATCCAACACACAAATATGGATAATATGGATCAGGAAATTACTTTTAAATAATATTAATTCTATCTGAGTCCAGGTCACCAGAATGTCTCTGCCTTGCGACACAGAGTGGGTTAGAGGTGTTGGTGGGCAAGCAGGTGAGCGACGCTGCACTTTTGTATAATAAATTTAGCATTAATTTATTTACTCATATTTAGTGACTTGCTTACCATTTTCTCTATTCTGCACTCTTATCTTATTTTTGTATTGTGTGCCGTTGTAACTCGCTAACCCGCCCCATACTGGATATCTGTGAAAGAGCTTTACAGCTCTTTGAATTCCTCCTGAAGTCTAAACAAAGATTTTCATGATTCTGTGTTTTTTCCGCAGCAGCGGGCAGCAAGAGGCAGCGTGGCGGGGTGCGGAGTCGGAGCCTCACCCTGGGGGAGTCCCCCGAGGGCACGGCGGCGGTGGTGACGGTGCCGCCGCTGCGCCAGGCCTACACGCCCGTGCCGGCCGACGCGTCGCCCGCGCCACCCACGCTGCCCTTGGCCAGCGCGTACGCCCACACGTCCGCTGCTACGCCCACGTCCACGCAGGTAGTGCCCTGGCGTGCACGCCGCTTGTATCGTATCCCCCCCCCCCCCTCTCCGATTTAGAAGATGCTCCGGAGAGTACATAAACACTTTTTGGGTTGGATCACCGCCACCAGACACAGCCAATTCGTAAGGGGTTTGTCACGTAAACAAAACCTGCTAATTGGTTACTACTTCAGCACATCGGTGTGTTAGAGAGTAAACCCGCAACGTTTACAATTTGAGAGTTCGGCCTTATTGGGCAATACGAATGCAGTGCGCTGTATCGTCATCACTTGTAAATTATAAACACCACCTGAGCCACTCCGTGCTCATTCCCTTGAGGCTGTTTTAATAATTTGGAGTGTGCCAGCAGCAGAGGGCATAATTCCGTGTAGGGCGAAGACGGCCGCGATAGGTTGCAAGGTGATTTTACGGCCCTCTCACCTGGACCATGTCCAGCACGGTGCCGCAGCGCTTGCACAGTGGCGACTCAGCCCTGCTAGTGCCAGTGGCCATCGCTCACCAGGCCTCTGGCTCTCGCTCGGTTGCCTTCGTCTGGCAGTCTGGGACGCGGTCAACAACGATCCCAAATGTGGCTTTTCTTGACCTTGGGAAAGTCTTGTGCTCATGGCACACGTGTCAAATTGTGAATCACATAAAGCATTTACAACCTATGCAAATTGTATGTTAATACACGGTTATGCTAATACAGGCTACAAAATAATGAGTTGAAGAATTGAATCGTGACCCCAGATGACTATATATATCCGCCAGGTTTGAACTCTTATTTGCCTTGTGCACAGAGTGAGAAATAGTGAGCATAGTGTGAGGGTGTTATTGTATTTGCAATAGCCGCTAAAGAGTTCTCAACACGATTAAACACTTCTTAGATGAGTTCCATGCCCCAATACAAATGTTTGCCCCCTGAGCCATCGGGTCACTTAAATATGAACAATTTTTTGGGTTATTTTATAAAACGATTGTTATGCCTGATTAATTTATTCCAGGAGGCGCAACAAGTTGCCAGTTCGTAACATTAATTGAGATGTTATCATTTGCCGTTTCTCAATGTGACTGATATTATGAGACTCTCCCCCTCTGGGAGAAAATAATTAAAGTTTCACTGTGGCGTGGTCAGGCTTCTGCTCGGCGACGGAGGGTGGAGAACTCCTTCGATATCAACAACATCGTCATTCCGCTGTCCATGGCTGCGTTTGCCCACGTGGAGAAGATCCAGTACAAGGAGATTCTCACTCCTGGGTGAGTTTTCCTTCTGTGTACATCATTAACACCCCTAACTGGTCAGCTTGAAAGTAGGATTTTGTTTTTTTTTACATCCTGTGAGCAGAATAATTAATTTCCAGCAAGCGGCCGCTTTCAAAAGTAACGTTATGTACAGGCGGTCTCCGGATTTACGACGGTCATATTTACAACAATCCACAGTTAACGACGTTCATGCAATGCCACCAAGAACGATTCATGATGCAGGGAATAGATTTACGAAGCATCGTCCGATTTGATTCCGAACGCATTCGAACCGAGTCAGTCTGGTTTCCCATGTGACTTGGCGCGGAGCTCTTGTTATTCTCAGGAGTTTTTTGTGGGATTTTATTTTTTTAACCTATTAAAGTCTGTTAAATACGGCCGATGAAAGGAAAAACGCATCGGCAAGTGATGTTTCTCCTGTTTCTACCGTCTGTGGGAAAACGGGGTCCGGTTTACAACGATCCGATTTACGATGACGAGGTTTACAGGAACGCGTTGTGACGTCGTAGAAGTGAAGACGGCCTGAAGTAGCGGCGGTGTCTCCGAATGACAAGTATTCCTCCTGAAGCGGTCTGTGTGATGGGCCTGTCAGCGCACGAACCCCCTGGCACTTCTGTCCGTGGCCGAGTGCTTCTGGGAGCGGATTGTGGTCGTTGGTCGTCGATCCCGAGCACCCTGTCGTGTGTTTGCAGGTGGCGTGAGCTGGGATTTGAGAATGAGGGGCCAGACATTGAGGAGGAAGCTGAAGAGGTATCACACTTTGAAGCTCTAAAATTTTAGCTTTCTTTTCGGATTTATTAATAAATTATGTATTTACTCTGAAGTTTTTCAAGAGGCCAGTTTCTTGAGCTAATTCCATAAGAATGTTTCTCATTCGAGTCAATTGTGCCGTCATTCCAACCAAAATGCAGTCGAGTGACCATTCCCATTGCTCTCTGAGTTGTACCCAGATTGGTTGTTTGAAAAAATGGATACATTTTGAACATGTCATTGATATTAGGCAATCACATATAAAAATCGTAGGTACTTGTACATTATTTTATGTAATTTGATCACCCGGACGTGGTGACAGCAACTATCTATTGGCTGTTGTGGACCTCTTGCCAAGCCATTGCCATTTTAGGTGCTAAGGTTGGAGCAGAGGGAAATAATTTTTGGGGATTATATTTTTAAAATACATTTTTGCTACAGTATTCCCTCGAGCCTCCGGCCACCCACTCACTCAATATCTAACCCAAAACACCTCTTATAGATCATTACGATGGTTTAAACTATTTCAACTGAACTTTTTTTTACTTACGCAAGCAGCGGTGCTCATTTGTAGACATTGCGCAACGTGAGCAGCAACACCTTTTTGTGCGAGAGCCGTCGGGATGGCCGTACAGGAACCGCCGGTCAGCCCGTGCCCGGCTCGGCGTGCTGTGCTGAGAGAAACGCGCTGCTTCGTGCTGTCATCTGCTAGGTGGAGGACGTTTCGGACGAGTCGTTTGCCGATCGCCACGCCCGGTTTGAGCAGATGGAGAAGACGCGATGGTGCTTCTGGTCGCCCGCCATTCACCGCCGCACTCGGTAGAGACTCGATCGCGAGCGCTGCCATTGTGACCGGCAACTTATCTCTGTTAATAAATAGCTATAACATTCTTAACTCGCAGTCACGTCTGTGCACGTCCGATCGGCGCGGACGGCTACGTACGGTGCAAAGGAAGTTCTTCGTACATTGTGCGTGCATTGCACTCGTAAAAGTGTCAGGAAAAAGTCATCCCAAAGAAGGTTTGTTAAGCCAAAAAAACAATGCTCAACCTGTCACGTGACCTCACTGCCCCCATCGTGGTTTATCTCTGCACAAAAAAAAATACATTTGTGAAAATGTTTAAACCCTCCTTGATTATAGCTCACCTACTGTACTGGAGTCTCGTCACAAGACAATGGTGTGCATTTCATATCCTGAAACCTGGTCGCACGGTCACGTATTAAACTTTGGCCTTGCTGCGAGGGCGACATGCTCTCACCCACGCTGCCACAGCCCGACGCCTTGCCAATGCGTGCCTCTCCGCCGCATCCACACCCACAGATCTTTCAACAAGAGCACGTCGGAGGGGCGCTGCACGCCCCAGCCCCCGTCACCCGATGTGTCCGTGTCGGGAGGCGGCAGCAACCACCACGCTGGGCTCAACGCAGAGCAGCACCGCTCCGCCGATCGGAGCCTCCGCGATTCCTTCTACGAGTCCACGCGCTCCTCCACGCCAGATATGTGCTCCGAAGAAGTCTTCTTGGTACGTGTGCGCAAGCACGAGAGCGCGGCGTGCCGGTGAATAGCACGACGTGTTATAGCCCACGGCGTGTGCCTTGCCTGTGTAACAGGTGTAGCTTGGTTGGCTTGCCTGGATGAAATCACCGAATTTGCTCTCCCTGATAACCTCATTCAGTTAGGTTCATTTGCAGCAAGTGTCCACTGGTTGTCCTGTAGCCACACCCCACTGGGTAATCCTAGCCAGGGACACGCCCAGCACTTTGCAGTGTTGGACTGCAAAGAGGCGAGGGATGACTATTTGACTCCTGTCCGGCTCTGTCTCGCCAAAAGGACTTTGGACAAAGTCCAGTCGCACACGAGCAATCTCATTTTATTTTGAGCTCCATCTAGCGGAGGCCCTTCCGTTACCAGCGGTGCGAGAAAGTAATTTGAGTCCTAACGATTTTCTTGCACATACATTCGTAAGGTAAACAAGCCCAGTATATCGGTACTAATGGGCTGGCGTGTCTGCATCTGCTGGCAGGTGGTGCAGCCTTGGGAGAAGAGAGCCTTCCCGTTGCGCGAACAAGAAGAGATCGCCCTGGCAGACGGCGATTGCAACCACAGCGACGAGCGGCGCTCTGCCTCGCCCACACAGCAGTTCCATCGCCATCCGCCGCCGCCGTCCACCGGCAACTCCGAGGAGCCCTCCGCCGCAGCGCCGCCTCCGTACGTCGCAGAGCGGGACGGCGCCGCGCCACCGCCCAGGGAGGAGCGGAGGCCGGCGAAGCGCAGCTTGCGCTCCGCCTCCGCGCGGCAACCGTCGGGGGGAGGGGGCCACGAGAGAGCGTTGGCGCCGCACGACGGCAAAACCGCGGAGCCGCGGAGTCGCAGCGCGGCGGGCTCCGTGGGCCCGACGAGCGGCGACGATAATAATAATAATAATTACCACACGCCAAGCGGCCGCACGAGAGCGGGCGATGGAAAGTCGCGGAACTCCATTGTGCTGAGGGCGGGGAGACGAACAAACTCGCACTGACGCCGGCTCCGCTTGTGCTTGCGCCTCTCTGTTGGGTTGTAACCGGCCAGCATGAGCAGCACCTGTACACAGCAGGCCTGTGCATGGCTCTCCTGTTCAATGACAATGATATCGACGAATGCTGCTGTTTCTCTGGAATGATGGGGCTCTCACGTTTGTAATGAAGCCGACGCGATGCACAATTTTAGGATTGTTTCCATGTATGAAAAGAAAAATGTACATTTGAAAAAAATAAATGTTAATACTGTGCAAATAACGAGAAATATAAAAATAAATGTTTCACACCCAGTTTAAATTGTTTGGACGAACTTTGGAATAGCTCTTACTTGCCAAACTTTTGTTTAAACCAAGTATTTCACGTCTTGTCGTCTGTCTCCTTCCATCGTTGTTGGGACTGGTGGGATGATGGGTGTTAAGGGGGTTTGAAATGTGCACTAAGTGTGTTAATGATCTATTTACCACAGCGTTTATCCGCCTTGCTCTGCATATATCACAACAGGGATATCTGCCCTTTTGTATAATACGTAGAATAAACAATCGTTCTTATTTTACTCAATAGGTGCAAGAATTGGCAATCTTTTGGAAGATATTTTTTAAAAATTGTCACTCGTAGAATAATCATTGCCTTTGTACATATGGAGTTTGCATTTGTACCCACGTTAGATATGTAGGATATGTAATTGTTATGTATATATTATAACCTCCCTGTTCTCTCAGGGAGCCTGGCATTGTAACTTCTGTGACTTTACACCACCTGAATGTTCAGTATACAGTACTGTGCTTACAAAAATAATTAAAAACACCACGACTCTTAAAGCCATCTCTTGGAGTTGTTCTTGCAGTTTTTCTGCATGCATTCCATTAGCAATTGGTACACTCCTGTAAAGTAAATATGCAAAGCTTTGCAGAAACAATTGGAGCAGCGAACAGCTCCGTCGTTTACCCACGAGTACTTTAGGTATCCCAGGCTTACATTTATCAGCATTTTGCCATGTTTGTGCTTACATGGTAATATATATTTTTAAATGTAGACATTGCAATGTAGGGATGTAGTTTTATATACAAAACTATACACATGCTTGTGGACTCAAGGCTGACATTGACATGGAAGGATTTAGAACACACCTGCACACAGGACATCCAATACCACGTGGCCCTCTTGCCATTCTATTTGGCTGCAGCCCACTCAAGAGGAGCACGAGTCTCAAACTAATCTGTTATTGAGCTTAGAGTTTAAGCCTGCATACAAGTGTGGGTGTGCCCATAAAAGAGATCTCAAAAGCCTTGAGAACGGTCAGCCTCTCCCATCCACAGCTTAATACAACTCCACCTTGTACCAAGACTTCTGTCATCCAGTGAAATTGAAATTCAACCTGGCTTATTGTTCAGGAAACTAGCGTTTTAGATCAACATGCATTGATGCGTGAACATGATCCGGTTAGCCTAAAGAGAGCATTGTTATATTTGCTCTAAGACCCATTCTCCAAAAGTCATTTTTCAGAGCTCTCCATAGCTGTACTCAAGGATGATCCATAGCAGGTTGCTCCATAGCATCCTTGATTACTGCAGCACCACGAGTGGCATCTCTTTGGGCCTAACTCAAGCAGTTTTGGAAAATACAATTTTCTCATCAACATTTTTATTGATTAGTCACACCAGCTGTACTTATTAGGTTTTCATGGATTTCTCCCTGGTGTTGGCAGATGAACATCGAATGGGCTTGGAGAATTCACTGCCCATCTGAAAAGACCTGACAATTGTGCTGTAGGCTTCATACAAAACAGGTGATCACAGGTGTTGGGGGGTACAGATGTCTACACAACGGCATTGGCAGATTGCAGGTTTTTAGAGCAGTACCAAGTGGCAGTTTAATGGGTTCATTTTCCCCACGTTGTGAATTAATGCTGTCGGGATGGAAAAAAACTTGCATCTTGATAGCCAAAACAAATGACAGAATTCAGGTTGCTGGCTCCTGGTTTGTGTGGTTGAAATTTTTCAATATTTACCCCAATTGTGCAATCGGCGTCACGAAACGAACAGCAGCACAACTTTTCACTTTGGAGAACAATCCACGGAAGCGGATATCAAAAGTCACTTCAACTTTGTAAATTAGCAGTTATCACGGGTGATTCGTTACTTAAGGAGTAAAAATTTATCTGATTTTAATTCTGATGACCATGACAAGCGTTTTCCAGGTCAAGCAAATATTAGGCAAGTAGCGGACTGGCACACTACAGAGGCTGTATGTGTATTCATTCAGACAAGCTAAATTTAGATTCAATTGGACAATTAAATGAACACTGGATAAAAACAAAGAATGTAGTTAAAGAAAATCACTCATTGAAAGACTGAAACAGCTTCAAATTCCTTTAGTCAAGTTTTGCGTCACAATCTCGAAAATCAGTATTTAATATTTTTACAATATCTGCCACTTTACTCCAAACCAAAGGGAATGTACATTTGCAAATTCAGTTCGATTAAATTTAAGAACAAACTAAAGCAAATTTATTTTCACGTATCAATTAGGAATGACTCGATAAATCGCGTTTGGCAGTCCAAGAGGAAGCCCGGTGCGTGGCCCGGGTCATCCTGCGACTTGCCACTCATCGGTCCAGCATGTGCTTCACGATGGCCTCGTTCACCACGTCCTTCAGGTTCCTGATGACGGAGCGCGGGTCGTCGCTCTTCATGATCGCACTGCCCGACACAATCATGTTTGCTCCAGCCTGCAAGATGCACACACGCACACACAACACGTAGCGCACGCAGGTGCTCATCACAGCCCAACGTTGTCACACATTTGTCTTTAATACTTCATATCCAATAATATATTCAGGGATGCTGCCATGGTTTAATTTGTACAGCCTTGTGGCTCCATTAGTTTAAATGTATCGATTGTAAATAATTGACGAATTGTTAAACTGCCTCGTGAATGCAAAGTCAGGAAGTTGGTCAAGATATTTCATGGAAGGAGAAACGGACATCACCTACAATCAGACCAAACATGGTAGTAATCCCAATATCATTACACAGCAAGCGAAGCAAATGACAAAGGCTGAACCGGGCAGTTTACGCTGAATTGCAAATTGGCCCCTAGGCGGTACAGAAGACATCCGCACAGTAGGAATACAAGGTGCAAATTGGGTACCCAAAATGGCAATGAGGACCAACTTGAGGTGTGACGGCTGATTGTGGCATGGCGAAACTCAGTCTGTAGTTTGAGCTTCGAGTCACAATTGCGGAAGCATGCCAGCAGCGCTTGGGATTCCGTGAAGTTACAATTCCATGGCCTGATTATGCTTGGTAAGGTACACGATTACTGTTAACCATGTGCAGTACCTGGTACCCATTAGTGGGCCGAGTTAAGCTAAGGCCAAAGTAAGGTTCAGATATCGATTTCAAATAATGAACCAGAGTTGCACAGAATGTAGTGCAAAGTACTAATTACTATGTATGTAAAACTGCTTTTGCATCATACGTAGCCAACCGTGCGATGCCACCTCTCCAAAATATACAAAATAAGTAATCCTAGACACACACATCTCATATATAACCATACACCTGAAATTATACAAATAAAAGGCACTTGAGCCATATTCATGCACAAATTAAAAAATCTCCCACAGCCTGTAAGGGACTGTTGGGAGCAAATGCCGTTATAACGAACACCTATTAAAGCAGCCACAGCACAAGAAAGGCTGTTGTGGCAAGCGCCAGGCCCGGCCGCATTTGCCTCCTCAACACTTGAGGTTTATACGCTGCAATAAGTACTCATTTGAGGCCAAGTCAATCAAGAGGAGGCCCAGGACAGAGTTCAGATATTCAAACACTCAAGTCAGCAGGTTCGTAGCACAGTGCACCAAACCACCATGCAATCGTGTGCACGCACACAAACGGGCGTGCACGCGCACAGGCACACACACACCGCCGTGTACCTCTGCACACTTGTGGATTGTGTCAGGCCCCACGCCACCATCCACCTCGATGTCAAGAGACGGGAACTGGGAGCGAAGCCACTGCACCTGCGGACCAAGGGAAGCACGCCCACTAAATTAGAGAGAGCGAGCGAGCGAGTCCCCTGGCAACTAAATCTACTCACTGCGGCAGGGCGCTGGCGCGGCGTTGACACTCGTGCCTCGCAGCAAGAAGCCCTTGGGTTTTGATTCCCGACTCTGGGCCCCATATGGTGTGGAGTTTGTACATCACCCCCCCTGTTCTGCAAGAGTTACCACAGAGTTCATCGAATTCCTCCCAGTGCTAAACCGTACAATGTAATTGGTAGTAACCAGAACATGCCAATGCAGAAAGTTACCAGCCGATTATTAACTGGCATCAAACGTAACACCGCCCCCCCCCCCCCCCTACTGCGAACACTTGGCAGGACCCTCCTAAAAAAAGTCTTAACACTCTGTGAGGCTATCCTAGGTAAAAAAAAAAGTGTAAATGATAATACAAACCTATATTTTACAAACTCTGGAGGATGCCATCATAAAATATTGTTTAAATGTCGAGGCGACATAAAGCAAACGTCATGCATGAAATTGAAACGAAAACAACGTACTGCACTCAGGCCATGTGCTGTATTTGCATTAATGTGTTACTGCTCTCAGAAACATGCTCAAGTGGTATTATTATTCATAAACAAACGTCAGCAATGCAGTAATAGGTTGCCAGATGGCATAATAATCGGAACATTCTGAGATAACTGGCAATCACCAGTTTACTTAGCCTATCTTCCCTCGAGGGAAGAAAAAGGAAAGCCTGCACTTCTGGCAAGATTGTTGCATCTAAAGTTCTTAAAATTACATTCTACTTATGAATATACACGATGGGAAGCTTCCAAATGCAAACAGACAAATGATTTTGTTATCTGGAGGGTGCAGGGTGTGCAGATGCTGCTAACCTTGGGCATCATGTCTTCCATGAATGACTGCCCTCCGAAGCCAGGCTCCACAGTCATCACCAGCACCATATCCACCTGGGAAGCCCAGGGTGCCAGCTGCTGCACAGTGGTGCCTGGCTTGATGGCCAGACCCGCCTGCAAAGTAGCCCACACATTTCGTATGACAGCCTCGACATTACATGTAAATTGCGCCTCCTAGCAAAGACTTGTAGATTTAAAAAAATCTCAATTTTTTAATCGACAATTTTGGTTATTTTCCAATTTTCGGATGATATACATGAACTAATAATTTAACGAGTCCTCATGCTCACAAAAGTGATATCACCCGATGCCATGTGAGACCACGTTCGGTGGGAAAAGCACAGAAGTTATTTAATATTTGCGAGGCCACTTCGTGACGTCGTACTTTTGGATCCGGATCGTACCTAGGTACGATTAAAAAAAATGTTGGGAGTGGTCTGAAAAATGTGAACATCCAATTCCCTGAAAGGAAAAGCAACCAACGCTGATAAGCATGACTGCGTGTGTGTGTATGGGGAACGGTAATGTAGTAAGCGTGCTACGCTACGAACCTGGCGACCCGGGTTTGTATCCTGCTCACGGCCAACACCGGTGACAATTATCTAAACTGGTCCTGGGCCTCCCCTAGGTCGACTCAGCCTCAAATGAATACCTGGTGCGATGTGTAAACATCGCCACTAGTCAGCCAGGCGTGGTGTTGGCCACCCACCCCCTCGTGTATCGTGCCGGCCTTCATAGGTGCTCGCTAACAGCACTTGCCCCAGCAGTCTGTTAAGGCTATAACGGGCGGGTGGGTTGCAGGCCAGTTTACTGCAAGCCCTTGGTCTGAACAGGGCTCAGCAACCAGCGCACAACCAATTGATTCCGGAGATGATTATAGGAACATTTAGACTCATCAAGCCACCCTGGTAATTTGGGTACCACTTTCACTGGGGTTTGTTTTGCTACCCGAGCACATTGCAAGTCGTTTACGATTCTCAAGATTGGTTAGAGGATATGTACGTGATTCTGAAACAACAAAAACATCTGGGCTGCGCTTGAAAAAAAGAACACACTGCCCATGTGTGGACCATCGTGGTTAAGGTATTGGTTTAAACAGTTAATCATTTCCAAATGAAACACTTTGCCAAAAAAAACAGACCCATTTAGCAGAATCCTAATTACCCCAAATTTAGTTGCGCAGAGATGCACACAGCACAGATCTGATAAAGCTGCACAACCCCTTGCTCATCACCCTCAATCCCATTAATTTGGTTTGTGCCATAAGCGCTGGGCGTCTGCCCGGTACAAAATAACAACTTAAGCTTTTTAAGTAAATAACCCTTTATTAGTAAATAACCCTTTATTACCAAACTCTCGTAGCAGACATCCACCAAGGTGGAAATGGTTATTTAAAATCCTTTTATCCGTTTTGAAATTGTTCAAAGTGAAGATTTTTAGCTGTACTTAGGGGACATTTTGTTGAAAGTTAAGTGCGTGATTATGGGTCAGCATGACCAGCTGCAAGTGTGGATGCGCAGGGTACCTTCATGCCATTGTCACGGATGACCTTGATGAGTGGCCCAGGGCCCTGAATGGCCTCCAAGTGGAAAGTGTACTGGTTTGCTCCTGCTGCGGCCATGGGCTTTACCCACTGCTCTGGCCGGGCCACCATCATGTGCATGTCTAAACATGCCACGCACACAAATAACACAAGACAAATATCCCCCTCATAGCCTCAACAGAATTTTGGGGCAAGCGCTGTTAGCGAGCAGCTATGAAAGCCGGCACAGCATATGAGGTGGTGGGTAGCCAGGACCATGCCTGACCACCTTTGTCTCCCTGCACCATACATAGACAATCGATTAGCATGGTTGGCTACGTACGGGACGAAAGAAGTTCAACATAACACACACAAATCAGACACCAAAAACATGCACACACCGCCATGAGTGTAATCAAGGACAAGGATCTCTCATTATATAGCCTACACACAGGCCGCTGTAGCCCAATCATGTTTGTAATGCCCGTGTCAGAAGTATGCCTGGGCTGCAGTCCAGAAGGACACATTCTAGACAGCCACACTATCACTATCACTCACAGACCTGCATTGCCACAGGATATCTCAACAAACACTTGTGAGCTGATGCCATCACTCATTCTCCATGGTGACGGTCATATCTGGTGTTTTTCTCTGCTCTGGCTGCCATTATATTCCACCAGTCTCCTTGCTTGTGGCTAATATCATCCCTTATCCTGGCCAAGCCAACTTACTTTCCTTACCAGTCAATATGATGTCCCGGATTTGTGTTCGTTGCCTGCACCGAATGTTCTACTTTCCTTCTGAGTGTAATTCCAAGCATGCGCTTCTCTATGATTCTTTGAAGCATGTTCAGCTTATGCTTGGGTTTCTTTGTCAGAGTCCATGCCTTTGGTGCATATCATTGTAGATACCATGTAATGAATGTACACATTGGTATGTAGCCTTCATTAATCAATTTAGTTTCCTAACCTGCCTTCAACAATTGCCCTATTTGTATATTTTCTGCTGTGTTTTCCAATTGCATCTTTCCAAAAATGTGACGCAAAATGAAACATTTACATTACCTAAATGAATAACTTTAATTCCAGCACAGCGTTTCCTTCCAAGCTTATGCGGAGATAGGCTGACCCGGTACATCAGTTTTCTTAATAAAACCCATTATTTCTAATAAGATAAAAATTTGCCAATTCACAGCTTGCAATATTATTTATACAGAACTGCTTTTTGTTACATTAAAAGTCACAATCCAATGCCACAGTATTTACCCTACAGCAAAGAAGTAAACTGGAACAGCCTGGCATGTGACGTTTCTACGCACCATGCAGACGCGGCAAATGAGTCGGCATGGCTCTGCAAGCAGTTTTTTGAGCTTTGAGAATGGGATTTTCAAACTTGTTTTAATTTTCATGTTTACCCAGCGAGGATAAACAAAACATCTACAGCATGTGAGAAAAGTAACTATGGGAAAAACAAAGTCTCAGTTAAACAAACCAATGGAAACGTTCAAAGATACATGAGGGACTGCGGCATTACGAAGAAAACAATTGATCGTGGTGGCCACTGTAGGCCTTTTGTCCATTGCATGCTTCCCAGACTCGGTTTTGACATCACCGCGTGATGTTATAATTTCCAGTCGTACGTTTCCCTCGTATTCCAGTGGCGAGCCAAAAAACTAATCAATGACACGTATTGTTTAAACGATGCCCTTGTTCCAGTTAAGGTCAGCGGGTGAGAGGGCCCGATTCAGGTCACGCATGTGCAGGCGGGCGAGGGGGGACTCCATGTGGGGATCAAAAGGCATAAGCTGCTGCCACCGACCAAAGAAGGGCTCTGTTCCCAGCGACTTGCGCAGACACTCCACCACAGGGTGGCCAAACGTCAGGTTTGGCACGAAATGCCTGCAAGTGAGATGGTAGGGGGGTAAAGAAGACACGGAGCTCTCACATGCTGGCCCACAGCACTCCTGCCGCGAGCAGATAAGGAGTGCTAGCGCACACACACACACACAACTTTAATTATGAAGACACATTGTGGGCACGTGAAAGGATCACCATTCACAGAGGGCAATAATATAGCAGGCTTAAGTAAGTAGAATATAAACGAGTTATATTGTCTCGTACAACTACAACAGAAACAAAGTACTGTAGATGTCAACGTCGATGAGGATGGATATTTACACCAAATAATATGCATCTTGATCCAATATGAACCCCTTTGCTAAATAAGTCAATAACCGAGTTATTAAAATCGGCAAAGTAAAATTATTTGTAACATTTAAAATGAAAATATATATCCAATGTCCACAAAACACCCAAATAGTATGTTGTGGTTGCTGGCATTGCACCGCTAGATATGGATACTGTTTTCGAGATTTGCATTTCAATAACACGTATTTATTTACAATCAAATATATACACCGAGGAATTGTCCATAAATACTAAAAAGTATTTAGAGGAAACCAATGTTGACCACCAATTCAATGCTCAAACAAGACAGCTGACATTCTACAACCAGACTGCCTCATAAATAAAAAAAACTTTGTTGCCGGTCTAAAGCAGAACAATTTTCACACTGTAATCTGGCTTCTCAACACTGCCGTCTCCTGGCCAGCAAACTTACAACACCTGGCAAGCCCCTGTGGTCACCCATCCAAACACGAACCAGGCTCTAAGCGGAGAGCTTGGAGAGTTACTACGAGTAACAAGCAGATCGTCGTTGGCTTGAGTTCTGCACAGGCTCAGCAATATTGGCATGAACTCCGATGCCATTTGCAACATTGTTAAGTAACGTATTGTACACCGAGCTCACTGCTAAACAGGCCACGCACTGAAAATGTGTGTTGTTGTGAGCCACAGATAGATCGGCCAATGAAGGCGGACTGGACAAATGGCGCTCCGGTCATTGTCAGTGAAGGCCGCACGCGCCGCAAACAGCTCCCACCACCACCAGCAGCATCATCGCCACCACCACCACCGCCACCCACCATCATCGCCACCACCACCATCACGATCACCGCCACCAGCACCATCATCGCCACCACCAGCACCACCATCGCCACGACCACCACCATCACCACGACCACCACCATCACCATGACCACCACCATCACCACGACCACCACCCACCATCATCGCCACCACCACCCACCATCATCGCCGCCACCGCCACCATCATCGCTACCACCACGACCACCACCACCACCATCACCAACCACCATCATCGCCACCACCACGATCGCCACCACCACGACCGCCACCACCATCACCACCACGACCACCACAGTTTCGTCCTTCCTCCGCACCTCCGATTGGCACTGTTGGCTACGTACGGTGCGAAAGAAGCTCAACTTATAGTACATACCTCAACCAACTGGCCGTTATAAACCAAAATATTGGAGGCCTCGTCAGCGTAATCCACTCAAGACTACCACAACTACATCATCCTCGTCACAACCATCTTCACTCAAATCATCAACCACCATCATCATACTCTACCATCATCATACTTCACCACCATCATCATCACCACGGATAACAACATCAACCACAACTACTGTACCACGACCACCATCAACACCGAGGGCACCCGCCACCTCTTCCCACGCTCGCCTCACCACCATCGCCACGAACCCACCCGTCCATGACGTCCAGGTGCAGGTAGTCGGCGCCGCACTCGAGCATGCGCCGGCATTCTGCCGCCAGGCAGCCGAGGTCGCTGTTGAGGATGGAGGGGCCCACGCGGGCCGAGTAGGCGGCCATGGTCGAGTCGCGGCCTCCACGCGCGCGCCTCCCCCCTCTATAAGCTCCGCCTCGTCGTTAGTCCCGCCCCCCTTTCTCCACGGGTCCCGCCCCCCCCACGGGCCACGCCCCACTCCTCCACGGGCCCCGCCCCCGCCCTCAGCAGCATTGATTCAACATAATTGCAGATATACACGTTGGTTCTTTCGGTAAAGTCACGAGGGTAGAAAAATAAATCAAAATAAGGTGATGTATTATTTTTTATTTTCTTTTATTTTTCTACCTACGTGACTTTAACGAAAGAACCAAAGAGTATGGATTCCTGCAGTCACGAAGGCTTCAAATCAAGATCATTATTACAGAATCAGAATACAGGGACTCCTCTACTTATGAACGAGTGAGGTTTCAGAGGTCTGTTCGTAAGTCGATTTGTTCGCAAGTCCAACTTTACTCCTGTCGATTCCAAACGTGTTCTAAGGCGTGTACACTAAAACACGGGGAATGGCTTTAAACGTTTTATAATATCCTGTAGATGTAGATGCCACTGGTTCTTCACGCTCTGCAGATGTAGATGCCACTGGTTCTTCACGTTCTGCAGATGTAGATGCCACTGGTTCTTCACATTCTGTAGATGTAGATGCCACTGGTTCTTCACGTTCTGTAGATGTAGATGCCACTGGTTCTTCACGTTCTGTAGATGCCACTGGTTCTTCACGTTCTGTAGATGTAGATGCCACTGGTTCTTCACGTTCTGTTGATGTAGATGCCACTGGTTCTTCACGTTCTGCAGATGTAGATGCCACTGATTCTTCACGTTCTGCAGATGTAGATGCCACTGGTTCTTCACGTTCTGTAGATGTAGATGCCACTGGTTCTTCACGTTCTGTAGATGTAGATGCCACTGGTTCTTCACGTTCTGTTGATGTAGATGCCACTGATTCTTCACGTTCTGCAGATGTAGATGCCACTGGTTCTTCACGTTCTGTAGATGTAGATGCCACTGGTTCTTCACGTTCTGTTGATGTAGATACCACAGGTTTTCACGTTCTGCAGATGTAGATGCCACTGGTTCTTCACGTTCTGTTGATGTAGATGCCACAGGTTTTCACGTTCTGCAGATGTAGATGCCACTGGTTCTTCACGTTCTGTAGATGTAGGTGCCACCACCGCCATCTATTGCGTGGCGGTTGAACTTACGACTCTCTGTCCGAACAGGAAACTGGACATATGGACAGGTTTGTTCCTACCTCTCAAAGTTCGTAAGTCGAATGTTCGTAAGTAGAGGCGTATCTGTATGTATTTATACTGGAGTAATCCGATGAGCTATAAAGCTCTTTTTCACGACCCATGGGCAGATAGCACGTAGGTGTCCACTGAACATTCCGTCACTTGTTTCCACTTTCCTCATCTGTCTTGTAGTGGCAATATGCTCAAGTAGAGTCGCATCTTTATGGCACCAATGTCGAATGTCGCTGTCAAGCCATTTCTCTGTTAGGTCTTGCATTGTTTCAACACAATCAGAATCATTCTTTGGACTGCTGGAGGAATCCCGATGAGCTATGAAGCTCTTTTCATAGATGTCTAGTAGGTGGCGTGTTATAAAGTTATAACAACAAAAACAAACAATAAAAAAAACCATAGAAGTGCAAAGTATAGGAAAGGTAAGTCACCAAAATAAGCAAATAACTAAATACAAATTTACAAGTATATAAGTTAAAATTGCATAAGTACCGTGCATCAATTCTCAAGCTTGGGAAATGCAGCAAAACAACAGCGAAAAACACGAAACTCTGGACCGGATTCGACATTCAGTGGCTCATCATCTCTTGAATCAAGGCTGGTGGTGACCTGTCGAACGTCGACAGGTGCAGTGACATTCCTGGGTGATGCCACTGCACCCCGGTTGTAGTGCCAGCCCCAGGACGACAGGGGGCGGAAGAGTTCCCGGCTCGAGCTGGGCCGTGGCACTCAGGTTGAACCCAGGGGGGGCTCGTGACCGGAGGTATGGACCCCAGGACCCCCAAAAGGGGGCTGGGGGGATGACGTGTCCACAACCCAGTTCCTTCTCGGAGGTTCGAGAAGGAGGGCGTGGCTAGGGGCGGAGAGAGCCGGGACTGACTGTATAAGCCGGACCCCCGAACGGGTCCGGCTGCTGTTGTGTACTTGAAGACCCGGAGCCGTCACCCTGAAGAGACGAGACCCGCACCCCAGCCAGGGTCAGCTGGACCTCAGCCTCCCCAGTGTTAGGCGCGTTAGCCCGTAGGATATATACCTCCGTAAGGGGCCGTTACCCCATTCGTGTTAAGGTTACTTTTGTTGTTATAATAAACGTGTTGCCTCTATTGAAGTCTCGCTCTCCATTCTACCCACTGCACAGGCAAGGAGCCTCGTGTCTGGAGGAATGTCTCGAGGGCGCCCTCTACCGCACTGAATGAGATGCTCCACTGCTAAGGCTGAATCTGGACGCCCTGCGACAATGTCATATTGCCGCCTGCACGACAAGCAACGCCCATTCAACTTCTCACGTGCGAGAAACTCCCATTTATAATATTGTTTTATGTAATCACGACAGTTTTGGGTCGATCTAGGATCCATATCTTAACAATAAGAGCCATTGTCCAATGCCTCTACAAATTTGGCAGTTCACCAGGATTGTTTTAATTAAAGCAATCCTGACTGCTGATGAGAGACTGACTGTCAAAACCGGTCGTGCTGAAATGATGCCCTCCTGACTGCTGATGAGACACTGAATGTCAAGACCCGTACTGCTGAAAGGATGCACTCCTCCACGTCTGTGTGGCTGGTGGGATACTTGTACTTATTTTTTGGGTTTTTCGGTAAAGCCACGTAGATAGAAAAATAATAAAATTATCACGACGTTTCGATCGCAACACAAGCAATCGTCATCAGGTGAAAAATTATAGCGGGAGAGCTGTCGAGGCAGGAAAAAAGGAAGCTCTCTCGCTATATTATTTCACGTGATGACGATTGCTTGTGCTGCGATCGAAACGTCGTGGTAATTTTATTATTTTTCTATCTACGTGACTTTACCGAAAGACACATAGAATATGAATTCCTGCAGTCACGAAAGCTTTAAGTCAATGCTTGTACTTGTTTTTAAGTCGAGTGATAGACATACGATGGTAACGGATTGTCAAATTGTTTATTCTGTTATTTAGATTCTGCACAACGAAGCGGATCAATAATGTAGTATTATCTTTGATCGCGCAGTGCCACGAAGGCTGAAGTGGTCATTGCGATGTGGGTTGAGATTGTCTTACGGGCTCCCTCTACTGGACGGGATCGATCCTTGCCACGGCTTTGCACTGACGTGAACATCCTGAGATGGCCTCGGCCCTCCAACAAAGCAACGACCACTCCACACTGCCCAGTTCCATTGCATGAGCTCCGGCTGACGAAGCCAGCACGAGGCGATGCTCGTCTTCATCAACAATCTTGAGCCAGGGAGATCAATGCCACATTCTCCCCTCAGGGCTCTGAGACAAGTTAGATATTTTAAAAGCTGGGACGATTAGTCGATGAAGTTGATTAATCAACTACTTTTTACGTGGTTGCTTCCTCAGGCTCCTTTAAAACGGCGGACGTCCTGCCATCCTGCCTCCCGAAAGCAAGAAGCCCCCTAGATTTGGACATCTGCGAAAAAAAGCATCATAGCTAATGGGATTTTTCCAGGATGAATTCTGATTCTGAAGTCACGGCCAACGTGAAACACACGTGGCACGAAGTGAGATGTTCACGTCTATTGTTTGTTATCCGAATTGTCAAGCGAACCGATATTCAGAAGAATAATTAATGACTTAATCGCATTTTCCAAATTGTAATGCTTGATTAATAATGATTATGATGATAATTAATCACAAATTTGTACTCATTATATTGATCCTGGATGGATGATGGGCCGTGTTGACTCTGGACTGGTATTTAAACTCAACACTTGCCAATTACGAGTTGAGAGCATCCGCCCAGGATAATTACGAGGGCTCTCGACATCTCAAATAGACGAGGCAGCACAAGACGCCAATGACTCGAGTCGCCCCCAATCTACACGGTCAAAATCACAATTCATCGTTTTTACTTGATCAGGGCTGTGAGCCTGTGTCATGGACATTGCTTGTGATGACTATTTTAAGGTTTGACGTAAAGTAAGTAGAGCAAAATGGTTGCAAGAAAAAAAACAATTTAATGTTTTTGTTGTATTATTTATTCGTGTTCCTGATAAAAACTAAAACGTGCACATTGCAAAATGCGTCAGACGTCATTTAAATAACAAAAGACAAAATCAAGCAGCCCTACAGATAAGAATAACCTGTTTATTTGATGCTTGGGCTAAGTTGAGCAGCTACAGTAGATACACGAAAACTGAAACGGCAAACACGTTACTGGAAATCACGGAGCCAACTACCACATACGACAGAAACAAAACGTCGAATCACGTTGCGCAAGAGCCAGCACAACCACAACCCAAATGCAAAGCACAGCAACCACATCGTCCATCTGCTTTGTCGCCGGTCTCCCCCGAGATCTGTTACACTGCCGACCAGACGAGAGAGCACGTGGGCTCGTCTTCGAGAACTCCCATCGAGGCTGCCCACGAATGTTGAACTGACTCACAAGTCGACTGCGATGCCATGTGTTAAAAAAACAGAACACGTGAAATGTGGCGTTTAACTTCCCACAAGAGAAAGCATCAACCAATTAATCACAGTATGCAATCGTTTTTATGATCACGTTTGAAATAAGTACAACATATGGCAGTTTTGTGAAACAATGCACTCTGCCATTATCAAACAAAACATTCAACCAAACCAGTGACGCCAGTGAATTACACTCATACTGGCAGACAAATATTCAAACAAAGTTGCGTGAGCTCTCTGCAATCCAATCAAAGGCATACATTTCACGTGTGTTGACCTTTATCCGGTGTCACAGTAATGCTGCAGATGCACAACAAGCAAGGTAACATTGTCTGTTGCTATATGTTCCGATGAGCATCGTTTCGGTTGGAAAAGATTAAGTGATTGAGTCTAAATTAGCAGATTTTCCTCACAGCGATGCATTTCCTAAAATCGCCTGCATGGGCTGAGTGACGCGTATGGCTGCATTGGGGAGCTGTGAAGGGTTGCTTGTGGAGCCACGTGTTGGCCCACAGGATCAAGTGAGAAACGAAGAGCAAAGGAACGTAAATCCTGACACCGTAGCTGGATCAATTCCTTTCCCTCCATCGACCAGTGGGGATGCCCACGGCAGTCCTTGTGATTGTGCCCCGGCAATGTCCACGTTGCTTCTACGAAGGCGACGCCGCAAGGCAGCTTGCATGAGACGTGAATGGAATGAAAGGGAAAAGCCTCCACCCGAGGCGATGGCCCTACGTTCTCCTCGCCATTTATAACCTGTGATACAAGCTGCAAATAATGTTAAGACTTCATTGTGAAGATTCAGCATTCCATCCAAAGTGTTGGTGGAAAGAATTGGTTTTTAAAACGAGTGTAGCTATGACAGCACGGGTTAACAGAACAAGCATCATCTCTAGAATCGTTAAAATCAATATGATGTTTCTGTGTGCAAACACGTTCTGTACCTCTGTTATGCTGCAGTTCTTTTGTTATTACAGCCAATAAAGCTGGGTTTTCAATATATCCATTTGAAACTCTGGGCCAGATATGTGAATGGCCACTCACAGTTATGTAACCAGATTGCAATCTTGAATTCACGAGTTTTCTCCCAGGGGGCTGTGTCTGTTGGTGCCTGGTCTGCAATAAAAATGCATCCTCCGTCAGAGTTATGTTTACACTCTGCAGCAGGGCAACTTGATTCTCAGTGAAGACACAATCTACTGGGGAATTCTTTTTTTTACCCAATAGTGCAGGGGGGGGGGGGGGGGGGAAATAAGCAAAAATAAATCAACAAAAAGCAAAGTAGAAGTTTATGGTGGACCTCATTCATTTTTCGTAGAGGTTTAAAATGGAAAACATCAGTATATTTTACTATAAGTTTACTACAATTAGCAATGCAGCAGACTAAGGGACGTGTAATAAATGTGCAACGGCAGCTGAATAATGATACCAATGAAATTCCTGCATTAGAAAATCGGGTTGAGATCTGAGGTAAATAAACCTCTCAAAAAGAATGATACGCTCTTCTCGATCTGTTCCCAATCCGCGGCGGCGATGTGGACGCAAAATTGCCAATGCCATGGCCAGTCTAATGTGAAACGGGCACAACAACATTGTGTCAAAGATGCCTCATTTCAAACTGCGAGTGATCGTGCTCTAAATAGAACAGCGCCATTAGGCATGTCCTGTGCGACCGATGAAAAATGGTGAAATTGGTTGACCCGAATTGTTACTCTGAATAATGCAGCGTCCCCGCGAGAATACCAGCGGAGATAAAGAGCGGAACAGCATTGGTTGTGCACCTTTACGCGACCATTGGGGTCACTGAAAATGGTAAATCACGCCATTGCAGCTGCATCTGAGGTCGTGTGCACTGCAGCCTGTTACACTTGGATGCACTCCTGCACGGTTGAAGAATGTGACGTTGCTTGTAACTGGGAATACACTCAGCACTGTGTGGTGCAATAATTCTCACGGTGCAACAACAATTATCAACGAGCCCGAGTACCGCAGGAACGCAATGGAGATGATGTAAGCTTGCTTGTTGTGCAGAAACTCACACGGCATTCTTATTAACATCGTTGCTCCACCGGACTTCCTCCGTTATCGTAAACCAATTTCCATCCATATCCGAACAATCTACTTCAACCCAGTTGACAATCTGTTCACGACTTGGAAATAAGTCAATTAAATGTTCCCGCACCTGGGGTCTGTTTTGTGGTGGTGGTGGTGGTGGGGGGAGAGTTTTTGTTCCAAAATAAAAGGCCTTGATAAATGGTTCTGTGATTCCACCTTGTGACACACGCATGCTCATAGAACGACCAGTGTCATTTTGTGTTATCTTCTTGTAACAGAAAAATCGCCGCCCACCACCCAATTACCCCAGCAGACCTGCTGCTGGACCCTGACACATCGCACTTCATAACAAGCATCCGTCATCACTGTTCGATCCTTACGCCATGCACTCTATCAGGAGAACACGAGAGGCATCGTCACTGGATCCTTTATACATTGTAGTCAGCCAATTGACGTCTAAGAATATCGTCATATTCTTATTCACTGTATTTTTCCCCCAAACCAGTTTAACTGATATCATCTTATCTGGTTAGTGTCACGTCGACCAAATTCAAACGGACAAATACCACAACTCACGCTGGAGGTCAAATCGTATCCGTAGCTAGTGTCCTCCTCCCTGCGCCTCGCGTGAAGCGAGCACCCAGCGCTTGGGCCAGACCTGCTGCTGCTGCACGTACTTTAACTTTTTGCATTTTTGCCCTGAAAAGTACAGACTGCACCTTCATCCTCTGCTGATAACCTAAAATTTGGCACAGCCATTCGGAGACATTTGCAGAATGTTCTTTACCCTGTTTTTTATCTCTTTCTTTTTTTGTTTCAATAAATGTTCCACTCAGTAAACTCGCAACAAACAGACCTTAATAACAAGACACTTGGCCTATCCAAAGCTGTACGTGACTGCACATCATAAGCCAAGCCGAGTGCTGTGTGCGTGATTCACAACTCCAGTTGTGCTCACGGCTGTCTCCACACATTTTATTGTCTCTGTATGTCCCTTGTTGCTAGACTCGTCCAGGCATATCCATTAAAGTGCTAAGTTTAGTAAGCATTAAACTTAAATCTCAAAACAGACATGCAAATTCATTCAATATCTAATTGGTCTAACCATATCGGAGTATATAGAAGTAGTTTTAGTACGCTTCTAAATTAATAGAATGTTAAAGGCTGTTTTTTTTGTTTTCGTTTTTTTTGTTAAGCGGCTAAAGAATACAATGATCATAACACAATATATAATATCGTAATTCCGTTCGTCTACTACAAGTAACGTAGAGAAATCTTACAATAGTCTAGGGTATTAACAAAACACGCAGTGGTCCAGGTGCATTGTTGAGCTGGGTAACAACAGCAGAACATTCCTTGACGAGCTAAACAGGCAGAAATATGTGTGCTCACCACAGCTAGCTGAGCAACACTTCATTTAAAGTTAAATTAACATGTATTACATCGTGTAGTAGTATCCGTTTACAAACAACCTTAAGCATAATAAGCAAACTAGGTGAGAGAATTGATTTGATCTGGTCTCCCGTTTTCATATCTCACAGTGTTATTGTGTTTGTATCTCGCATTAAAAAACTATAATCTACATGAACCTGCACTGATCACACCAGTTCGTGGGTTGCAACCTGGACTGGATCATTTCAGCCCTCTTCACCTTGAATGCTGTACGTGCCTAAGAAACTTAACGCAAATATAAGTATAAATTAAATCGCCATAACATATCGGTGCCTTAGAATAGTCTGGAAACAGGCCTTGGCAGTGCGTACACTCGATCGTTCATCAACTGCAGCATCCAACAAAGTCATCACGTGGCACCAGGAAAACCAATAGCTTATGCTCCTGTCAGGTGGAGTCATCATTTATGTTCACAACGAATGTTCCTGGTAACTTAAAGACACCCCTCGGTGAGCCGAGTCAGCCAATGGCAAACCACTCACGTCTTGATGGGCTCAAGAAGACTTGCGGCTGTGGCACGTTGTGTCGTGCCCATTTCCTCGCAAACGCCTCGCAGTAAGTCGTCGGCAAACACTCACCTACGTGACTTTACCGAAAGAACGAAAGAGTATGGGTCCTTGGAGTCACGAAAACTTCAAATCTAGGATAAACCCACTCAGACCTTTACCAGCTTTTTTGCTGCAATGCAAATGTTACAATTTCCGTAAAGAGATAAAAACGAATGCTGATGGGATTTGTCTCTTGCTTTGGCAGTGTGCTCAAAAAAAGTGTTTATGGGTAACGTTTCTGAGCGCGCCGCATAATTGTCGCGCACGAGACGTTTCTGTTTGCGATAAAAAAACAATCGTGCTTGTGTTGAAATACTCACTAACTAAAGTGAAATGGTACCAAGACAATTTTGTAGGGATAAGGGATTTAGAAAAATAAATCGCAGACATTAAGCAATTACATAGTAACCAGAAATTATATTTGTGATCAGGTTAGTCAGTTACTATTTTAGAAGCTACTTGGATAAGGACATAATTACAGTACTGGAAACCAATCATGCATTTGCATAGCAAATTCAAAGTTATTTCCAGACACCGGGTTTTTAAATAAATAATTCAATCAATTTCAATAGTAGCTGACACTTTGCTATTTTTCCATTTAAAAGAAAGTGTTAGCGCTAATCTGCATGACGGATTGACTTGTCTTAAGATAGGTGTCGTGGAACAGGGGTTGAACGCGTGGAATGAATCAAAATTTTGTCAGTCACAGAAGAGAATTCCATCGGCCTGAATAGAGGTGGCATGCAGCCAATCACATGCAGGTGTTATATTTATATGTGTTTGTATATATAAATATATATCACATGGACAACTCAATTCCATAAACCCTGAAAAAGTCTGGTGCTTGCTTTACTTGATTTAAAGCCTGATAAACTCCCAAAAATATGTGAATGTTCCACTTTTACAATGAAGTAGTTGACTGACTGGACAGGTCCTCTATATAACGGCATGGTGGACGTGTGTGTGTGTTGGACTTCTTTCACACCGTACGCAGCAAACCGTGCTCATCGGCGATGCTTAATTGGCACAGGCTGCTGGCGTACAGCAAATTTGTTGCGATTTCACATTCCAGTCATGTGCAGCGATCGAGCGTGCGGAGTTTCCTCAAACGTTTGTGCATCTTCTTGGGCATGGCGAGGGGGGAGGGGAGAAATGGTATTGAAACGTGTTATGTAGTCGAATGCGACTTTTGTTCTTCTTTAACCAATCCAAGGAGGCCGTAGATGCTGCTGCTGCTGCCGAGTGCGGTGACACCGCCAGAGTGTTGGGTGACGCGCTTTCACGCCAGGGTGCCGATTAGGAGTCTGTAACATTCTATGAAATTTACCAACTGCCAGTTTTGGTCACTTAAACAGTACAGCGTTGAGTCCACTTGGGTAGAGGGCATGCCCAGTAGACGTGGAACCGTCGGCCAAACGTTGATCAAATGGTTCTAACCACAAGCCAACGTTGGCGCAACGTTTGGCGCAAACGTTGGACTGTTTACCGTGTAATTGGTTATGGTGAACTTTATTGGCCATGCTACTTTATAGACCAGTGGTCACTTGGAGATGATTTACCCACGCTTATTTCAGCCAAAGTGTTCGGCACGCTTCATGGACAGATTGTGGACTCGCTACATTTAAAAAGCACGGCACACCCAACAGCAGTGAGCCTTACGGTTCCACACGAGTACAGACGCCAAAATGCCGCAGCAGTGCAACAGCAAGCCTTTGCGGCTTCCTCAGGCAATTAAGATAATGAGCACGGCGTTTAGGGTGACATTGGCATCGCATCGTGCATCGTGTAATCAATAGTATGTTCAAAAACTTCTCCACAACTGCAAGAAGCCATTACATATTCTATACTTATTTCTTGATGTTTCAGCATTGGGTATTTTCGTGGCAACAAAATAAAGTGTCTACATTTTAGACTTTTCATAGAGATTTCATCGATACACATACAGATATTTTAATGTAAAAACTAGTTTTACATCTATTAATATTACTTATTGTATTTTTGTTTGTGTTCATGTTTAGCTCATTGCAGCCACAAAAAAGACGTGGAATCTGAAACGCATTACAGTTTATCAGAGGGCCTAATGGTCTGCAGATTGATTGAATCGTGTTGCCAATTGCTCCCATAACCTGTGGCACGTCGAACTGGCACGACTTGTTTCCGTGGATAACAAAACCTACCCCTGCGGTATGCCACGGCTTACAGGATCCGCGATATGACCCCTCCCCCATATTCCGGATTACTGGAGTTCGGATTACTGGAGTTCGGATTACTGGAGTTCGGATTACTGGAGTTCGGATTACTGGAGTTCGGATTACTGGAGTTCGGATTACTGGAGTTCCGCTGTGTATTTTGTCAGCCTTCAGTCCTGTTGTTGACACTACGGCATTATGCTTGAGCTGAGCGATGTCTTGTGTTTATCACCCAAACTCCATCTACTGTTTAGAAAGCTTTAGCTTGGCTTGTTTGAATCCTTTCACACTCTCTTTGTCACTTGGTCAAATGCGCACACTCCACGTGGAATCACCAGCATCAGCACAAGGTGGAACAATCCAAATCGCATGTCCTTTCATTCGCACTAACAGCGGAAAACTCCAAACAGAACCAAACATAATTTCACTTGAAAAGCTGCTGGTGCGAGTGTGACCAATTCCATTTTGCGTTTGGCATCACTGATAATTGGTTATTAGACTGAACCAACACAAGGTTTTCCAGCCTGCTTAAAACAAGAGATGGTCAAAATGCATAACTTTAGTTTCACTATGTGGGATAGCTTTTGGGTTTCGCCCGTAAAGGGAAATTGAGAAAGGTGAAGCCACATACACTCGAGTGAAAACCAACCTTGGCTTTGCAAACTGGTAAAGACCAACTGTTTAGTAGCATATAACATCGTCCTGCTGTGGTTACTTGCTGAGTAAAACCAGGAGAGTCTGTTATGTTTAAGTCACTGTTAAATATAGCTTCATATTTTTTGGGCAAAAGTAATGTCACGTGAAAGAAAAACATATCCATTGCTTAAGCAAGGGCAGCCTATTGCTGAGCCAAAGCACATTGGCTGTGTCGCCATAATCCTGTTCCATTCCTAGTGCAAGCGCGCTCCCTGAAACGTAGCATTGGACGATGCAAATGGATGAAATAAATGCAAATCCGTCTGCTGGTGGAAGGGTTAAAAGTCATGGATGAGAATGTTCTAACATATTTTCTCTGCGTAGTGGCAGACATTGGGGCAAGCCACTTTAATCTAGAGCCATTTACAGAGGGGTATACTTATATAATACGTTAATAAGAATAATACGACTTGCCTAAATTGGTAATCACGTTGGTTGCATTTCATAGGAAATGCTTTCTGCTGACCACAAAGTCCGTCAGAACGTTTGTCGGTCACAATGCTATGCACGATCTTATAGACCTCATGAATTACATGCTCATATAATATCCGATCTTCTGCACGAGGAGCCCCATTGTGAACGATCACAAAATGGTGAACAGACGCCGCATAGCTCTGCGTTTGTAGCGAGATTGCGGTGTTAAGTTCATGCGGTATGTCTACATCATGGGGCGTGTGACATTTGCGGCGCTACGTTGAATGCATGCTGTGCGTGCATTAAGCGGTGTGTGGCAGCCTCTCGTCGTTTTTGCACACGTGCGCTCTGTGTCAGCAAATATCAAAGCTGTGTCAATGCACAGCTATGAGCGGCGGCTGGGTACACCTCACACCTGCGACAGGACCGGCGCCGCATCGCACTCCTTTAAAAGCCACAAAAGAAAGGAAATGCGAGGTTACTTAAGGCCTACGATCACACCACACGAGTACCACGCGACTACATGCTTTCATCAGCAAAATGCACTTTGTAACGTTTCTGTTCACCATTACGCCGATCGCAGAAAATCTGGCCCGTGATACGTGGGGGGGGGGGGGGATGGGGGGGTGGGTGGGGGGCACGAGGGGCTGGGCCCCTTACAAGCCCTGCTGGGCCAGCGCTGCGGCGAGCTGGATGGCCGGCGGCTCGGACTGCGCGAGGCCGTCCGGTTGCGAGAGGCTGCCCATGGAGCACACTTTGCTGATGCGCAGCGGGGAGGGCCCTCCGGACGCGCTGGGGGAGCGTGAGCGGCTCTCCGTCCGGGCCTGGCTCGTGTCCTTCGGCGGCGAATCGGTCTGTGGGGCAGCGATAGTTGTTGTCGTGTTGCTTCCTCGGGATACGGACGAGGCTCAGACACAAGATAAATCCAAGCTATTCCATACGAGATACAATAAAAAAAGATCAATCATTAAGCAACGTGGCCATTGGTTGGATATACATATGTATGATAAAAAAGAAAACCTAAAGCTTTAGTCCAAGAATAAATACTTATGATGTTTCCTTCCAACAGAGGCCTATAGAAGGATTGTCTGGATTTAACTCTGCTGCTGTGGCGTCCTCCTTAACCCGTGATTGTGTGCAGTAGCCCAGCTCCAGGATTGGAATCTGCTGGCAAGGCCGAATCCTTGCAGCTTGGGTTGCCGAACACTTTTCCAAATGAATTTAATTTGCCAATGGACAGAAGGTGAGGGTTTAATATGGGTGAGTGTGTGATGGCCCAAGCCCAGGACCGGTTTGTTGGCCGGTAGCCCAGTCAAACACTGCTTGGCGGCCCTATTCACAGAGATTCCCCCACCCCCCCTCTCAGGATTTTGATCAATGAGTCTTCCTCAGTGTGCAGAAACCCAAAGTAGCTTTAGCACTGTGCAACAGTCTTCAATCTGCAGCGATTTCATACACAGTAATCCAGTGGCAGCTTGGGCCTTGGCTGTGCTTGCAGTTGGGCAGTTAGGTGGCTCATCGAGTTGACTTCACTAACACTACAGCGCCCAACACCATCATAGACCAACAGTAATCCCCTTTTCGTTGCGCGGAAATGTTCCTTGTAAGAGATCTGAACGAGCTCTGAATGTGCCGATTGGGTCACCGAATGCTCAATCGTTGCAGTATCTCGCACCTCCGATTGGTGCTGACGAAGCTCAACTCAACGATGCGCTTATGGGCCCTCAAGAGACAGGTGTATTTATCTCTACTCTCGTAGCCCTGTCTCCTTCTCAAGCCCCTCGTGCTACGTATATGCAAGGCTGACTGTGCCACCTGCTCTAGCTGAGAATAAGCTGAAACGTTTAATCATATAAATAATAAAATGCTGGAAGAATATTATTTAAATTATACTTGAAAAATAAGCCACACTACCTATCACAACTTATATACTTGTAATGGAAGTTTTAGTTTTAATTCTAATGCTTTAGAACGTTTATTTCAACTTAACCTTTGCTCCCCGTACTTACAATGCTTTAAAATAATGATGAGTTTTACATAGCGTCATTTACGCAGATCAGATCGCATCTCACAACCGCTGAGCAAGCACAGGCAAGCTGGAAGGCAACCAGGCGCTAAGATGGCGCGAACAATTGCACAAGTTCTGTCGTCTTCTCTCTATATCAAGGAGTGTTTATACGCACGGGGCGGAAACCGGGGCATCCGGAGAAAACCACGCGTTAAATAAACACGTGTGACAAGTCTGCTCTACTGTTAAACCCGTATCGTTTTCCCAAGTGTGTCTTGTTAAACAACGTTGTCTCAATGGGCTCTTACATGGCTGAAGTTAAATGTTATTCACGTAGTTAAATAAAAGTTAACCAACCACTGCTCTGGAAAAGTCACACCACACTAAGCATTACATAATAGTTGGGCATACATGGCAGGTGTGATTTTCTGGAAATTGGATCAATTTCACACCAATTTTCTGTTTCATTAATCTATTTACTGTTTTTTTTGTTAAAATCATGAAATCCTGGTTGTGTTTTAAAATCAAACTTTAATTTACAGTGCATAAACAATGTTTATATTTACAGAGACTCATGTGCACAGCACGGGATGGCTACTAGAACAAACTCATTTGCACAGATGCGTCGTCCTCATCATTCACTGTCTTCCACTGTCCACGAACGCGAATAACATGGTTGTGCCTTGCTTAATACTGCAGGAATAGGTTTTACCCTTTTAACTGGCACAAAAACTGACACTTTTATTCAAGGCATCATGTTTGCAAAAACCACAACACAAGCAGTCAGAATGCAAACAAAAAAGACAACTCTGATAATATGCACTGTCCTTGAATTTGATTGGTCCACACCCGAGACAGCTTTTCTTAGAGCCTAGTCTCCATTGGTGTTGGACCAGAAGACGCCAAAAGGCGTACAACTCAAAAACAGCGCACCATCAGAGTATTGAGGGCTCGGGGTGAGCATTTACATTATCTTGTTTCTGGCAAAGGAGGTCTCATAATGTAAATGCTCACCCCGAGCCCTCAATACTCTGATGGTGCGCTGTTTTTGAGTTGTACGCCTTTTGGCGTCTTCTGGTCCAACACCAATGGAGACTAGGCTCTAAGAAAAGCTGTCTCGGGTGTGGACCAATCAAATTCAAGGACAGTGCATATTATCAGAGTTGTCTTTTTTGTTTGCATTCTGACTGCTTGTGTTGTGGTTTTTGCAAACATGATGCCTTGAATAAAGGTGTCAGTTTTTGTGCCAGTTAAAAGGGTAAAACCTATTCCTATATCTTGTTTCTGGCATAGGAGGTCTCATAATGTAAATTGCTTAATACTCTTCAGGTATCTCTCGATTTGCCAACGCTCGGTTTACGAAGTTTCGCATCAACGTAAATGAACAAATCATGGACGCTTTTTGATGAACGAAATCGAATTTCCATGTGAGAGAAAGTTAACTCTGGCAGGTGGCACGAGGTCATCAAACAAGTGCCACCCGGGATGCCGCAGCGTCATCCATCAGCGACAGCGTCACGGTGTCCTTGCAGGGCAGCAGTGACGTCTCCACGTCACCTTGCCACTCATTCCAACATGCAGATCTTTTGGTGAGTTCCCTGAAAAGGTTAATTATTTTTGTTTGAAATGAATTACTATTCAATCGCTTCAATATGTATGTTCTTTATAATTATTATTTTTGTATTGTCAAAAGTGATATAGGTTTTTTATATTTTAGGTTCGGAGTAGAGTTGGAGTGAGTCTGAAACACATTCCAAATTGTTGGTATCAAATTAATGAGAACAGCCATTCCGATTTACTAAATTCCTTTTGGTAAATCGAGGGATACCTGCACTCTAAAGCCCTAATGTCTTCAAATAAATACTGTGAAGCTGTTCTAATGATGTTTTAATACGCTTCACATTAACCGTTTGAAGCTCTTCTTTATTCACCAATGCCATTCATTAAAGCTACGCGTAACATTGCGGTGTTCTGATAGCTCTTTAAACGGAATGCCACAGCTCGTCAAGAGCGCCGAATTAAACTTGCCACAATGGGTTCTGTCGAATGCACGTTTTGTTTAATTCACGCAGACGCTGAGAGCATTCTCTGTTTTTCTCTGTGCATGAATCAAGCTGCCGCAACACGGATCGACATCACCCGTGTATGGATCTGCTTGAGAATAAATGGAACGCCACACGCTGTCCCCCTGCTCTGGGAAGATGAAAAGCCTCTTTCGAAAGCAATTCTTCGGGGAGCGTACAACAAAGTTTACCTCATTACTGCCACCACTCTCACGAAAATAAAGCAATCGCTAAATAAAGCCCAATGATTCATTTGGCAATTTGTCATGGCTGTCAGACAAATAATTCATTTTAAAAATTTACATTCCTCATTGCTTGACTCCGATGCACAACCTTTGATTCCACTTTTGCTTGGTAAAATGTTAACTTTATTCTACGAATTTCAACGTAACCATTAAAACGAATAAACACCAGCACTTGTTACAAATGTGCAACAGAGATAATATCAACACAGTGGTGGTGTCTCTGATAGGCAATTTTAGCCAAGTTCACCGATGCAGATGTCTGAGAGCTCTAACTTCACCGGCCACCCTCTGCATTTCCAGTCCAGTGGCCTCACCGTTCCAGTGTGCTCCTCGGTATTAGGAAGCCACTGGAGCTATGCAATATTACATCTAGATTGAGCACATTCCTTGAGCATTGCTTTTTGTGTTTAATTTGTTGTCCTCCCCTCGCACTTCCGATGAGCACGGTTGGTTATGTACGGTGCGAAAGAAGTTTAAAATACAATATACGTGGTTAATTCCAGGCTACGTGCACAAGCGCCGTGGTGCACGTGGTTCATTCTGCAGGCACACGCACACACGTGCGAGGTGGGCTCACAGGGTCAGCATCGCGAGTAACTGGCGAGGACATGGCAGATCGTGTTATCCTCACCTTGCTCCCCACCTCGCCCAGGACGTTCTCCAGCGAGGCTCCCTTGCTCTTGTCCCTGTGGCTGGGAATGGTCACGTTCCCTCCTCCTGTGGGACGCACGGTCGGTCAGTGCCGGTAAAGGACACCGCACCGACGACCAGACCGCCCGGGAATGCGCCCGATCTCGTCGCACGTGGGGGAGCTAAGCAGGATGGAGCCAAGTGAGTCGTCACGGTGGCGAGATGTTAACTACCTCGTCTGGTGTATAGGACAGCGTGGGTTTGATCCGACCCTGACGCCTGCTGTATATTTGGGAGTGTGCGGTGTCTCTCTCCCCGTGGTCACGCGGATTTTTCTCCAGGTCCTCCAGTTTTCCCTCCCATTTAGAAGCATGTGTTTAAAGAGTATTTGGACGTGGTACATTCGCACACTTCGTTGAGTTATCGTTTGTGGCCAGGTCGCTTTTGAAAAAGAGCTAAATAGCAGCTCAGTGGGCCTTACCTGGTAAAATATGAATAGTTTAGTTGAGAGTGTTCGGATGGGTGACTGCCATGCAAAAAACAGCAGCAGTAGGTATTGTGGATAGTAGAGGGCAGTGCAGCAAGATCCATTTGTTGTTCTCCACTTCCCCCACCTCCCACAACCCGCACTGACCAGCGTGGTGAAGTATGGACAAATATTCCTCACGGCCTGCAAGAGCGAGGTGTGGCCCTCATCCTCATGACAAATCGGACTGCACATGTACATAGCACATTGCATTATCTTGTTGTATACGGGGCCTACAACGCGTGCAGGTGTACTTGTCGACTGCCAGGTGTTACGAGTGAAGGTACAACTAGACCGCTATACAGTGATGGGTTAACGTGGACAGGGCATGCATACAGACTGTACTTTCACAAGCGTACACGTGCCACGTGCACAGATGCACAGGTGTTCAAGTGTACAGCCAGGCCTAACAGGTACCAAGCTGGCTGTCGCAGGTGCACAGGACACGTGATCTGATTTCTATCCGCTTCATTTTGATGACCCAGGTTCCGCTTTGCAACGGAGCCTCTCCCCTGGTCTCGTGACTTCTCACCTGCTTCGACAAAACGAGTTCGAGGTGTGAGCCCTGAGCACTCCCTCCCCCACGCACCTGGCTTGTGGTGGATGTTGTGCTTGGAGCCACACTTCGCCGTCACGTGGCTCAGATCGATCTTCTTGGTCACGATCTGCACCTGCTCGGAGTGGTGGGGACATGATTGGAAGTGGGAATTTAAGGGTGCGTGCCTTCTGCAATTGGTGTTGGTTATCGTGATGGCGCATGTATTTATGTGTGCATAAGGAAGGACTACAAACTAAACACAAAACGCAGTTCGAAAGAAATTAGTTTTCAATGTAGATGATTTAAAAGCTCAGTGCTCCAGTGGCTTGCTAATATCGGAAGGAAGAGCATTCCAGACGGCCGCAGAAGCTTATCTGAAAGCGCCGCGCGATGCGGTGACCACCGCCTTTGTTCGATGGCTTAGCCAAAAGCCGCTGCTGCTGCGAGAATGACCGGCGTTTGCGTGATGGTTTACTCACCTTAACGAAGTGTACATGCAATACCATATCAATATTGTATAGTGTCCATCTCAAGACTTCTCACAAAAATTTGAAGGTAATACAGGTCATAAGCATATTAACAATACGTCCATATAGAACATCAGCTGGAAAAAAAACCCCATTAATAATGAATTTTACGTTGCTATTAGATGCTTTATATGATTACAAATCAAAGGTAAACTAGCCACAATTAAAGTGCCATAATATGAGACCAAGCACATTGTTATTTATTGTTCATCCCGTTTGTTGTTGTGAATAATCCATATCCATTGGACACTCCAGTGGGACAAAGCAATGCCAGAGATGACTCACACACGTGACGTGGGCAGCCTCCCTCGGCCAGGACGGGAGGAGGGATAGATTTGGGCAGATGACGTCGGGAGAATGGCATCAAAAGACCTAATTATAGGTTCACGCACAGCTCCAGTTCTGGGTATAGCTGTACTCCATGCCATGTTTCCCGGGTCGACAAGGATTCGTGCTCATGAGGCCGTGACTGGGATGTGATAACGCGGAGCAGCAGTGCAGAAAGCTGCCAGGGCAGCTGCCTGTCTTGCATTACATTTACAAAATAAGTATGCTCAAGCGAAGCCAAGATTGAAGACAATACATAGATAGCGTTGTTACTAGGGCACTGAAATCACACTGCCTATCGTATGTGTTGTACAAAACTGAAAAAACACAGCCCGAGGTCTGTGTTGTTATTGCTGTTAAGATTTATCAATTTAATGCTTCGTCAGAAAAAAGGCATATTCCACGTTGGAGGAACCATGATAGGGGATGCACAGGAATGATGGCACATCTGTATGCCAATACGTACCACTCTTTTGTTCTACAGCATTGTGGGAAATGCCATGGGCTCAAGTGAAGCGACGCAAGATCACAGCAGGAAGGAAACCAAAGATGTCAGCGCCAGAATACTCACGCGCCCTCCTCCTGGCACATGTTTGATGTTGGCCATGGAGCCACACTTGGACTGCACGTGACTGAAGTCAAGCTTCTTGCTGAAGACCTACACGTCGCACAGCACGAGACGAAACCGTACATCATGTTTAGTGGAGGCTCTTCTGATGCTGCGCCGGTCACTGTGGTGCAGTGCTTGGTGCAGTGTCCAATTACGAGTTGTGGGAGAAGAGTGATTTGTGATTAATGTAATTCAAGAGGATACTGGCATGACTATGCATGTATAGTCCTCGCTTGTATCACAACCAACAAAGGCATGTGACGTTCAATAATGAAGATATGGAATCAGACAAAGAATGACTGACAATGTATGAAAATCAAGCCGTGTATTCGCATGTAAACTATCGAAGCGATCCATTGTGGTGTCATGTTTAAGTACGGTTCTGATGCTAACAGGTACATGTAAAGAGGATGAAAAACAACACAACAATAATAATAATTCAGGCCCCTGCTGCTCTAAACCCACAACACTGGAGTGGAGAGCCAGTGCGGCTGATTCAATTAATATTGGATAGAACTGCTTACTTCTCAAAAATTATAGTTGTACAACAACAAAGCCCCATAGCCCACAATTAGCAACTCCTTTGCACTTAACAACTTGCAGGTATAATCTTTCCTGAAATTAGATTGACCGACAAAATTATCTCGTCATGCCTTGTAAATCGAGCCCGTTACATATTTTACCAAAATGCGAAATTCCCTTTCAGATTGGTTGTAAATCCATTACAGTCACAGAAACTGACGAATGAAAATCATGGCCACGATGTTTTAAAAGTGCCAATAAAGAAATTCCTCACTTCCTTTCAGCAGAATGGAAAAATACAATTATAATACAATTAGAATACAATGGGAACCAGATGAATTGAGAATATTCAGAGAAGTGAACCACTTGACAACGTGGAAGAAAACATGGAATAGGAAAATCGTCTTGGATGGTGCACAGTTGCAAAATTGCCAACAACGAGGTAACAATGAAACGGAACCGTTTGATATAAAAAAATAACAATTAAGTAATCACACATAAACATGGCAGTCCACAATAGTTAATTGCATACTTTTGTGTCGCGTTTTCTTTGATGTAAAACAAACTATCGATTCTCAACCACATAGCAGATTAACTGCAATAAAATTAAATTGACGTCTCACCATTGAAATCTCGAATGAGAGGCGTTAGGCCTGTAAGAAGCATCTGTATTTAAGCGTCAGCGCAGCCAGGCTCACAGTGCCGTGACGTTGCGGGCGAAGGTCAGGGAGGGAGGGGGGAGCCTTGTGCACGGTCACCGGTCGACATTCTCGCGATTTTACCCTCCGGACGTGGACACCTTTCCAAGTTGCAAGGAGGCCGCAACTGTGCAGCTGTTAAGGTACAAGAACAGCTGCCACCTAAACCTTGCAAACGCGTCACGAGAGAGACGTGGCATCCCTCCGTGTGAACTCGCTGAACGCTCGCCCTTCGGCGCGAGTCGCGCGGATCAATCGCGCGTCACTGGCGACCCCAGAACGCGTCAACGCTGATTATTGCACTCCAAGACGTTCATTTATGAAGCTTAGAACTTTTATCTGATAACATAGGAGACACGTGCTATGTGCTTCTATATGCAATTATGCCCAATCAGTTTTTTTTGTTTTATGAAATTTAAATCTAGTTTTTAAAAAGGGCATATATTAAATACATTAAGAGCCTCAGTGAATTTTCGTTTTTCTGGTAAATATCAATACACATCCGTTTAGGGAGCAGTGCTGTTTGGGGCTTATTGTATTTTGGCTAGGATATCCTCCAAGGTAGGACTCTCGAACCAATTAGGATCACGCATCCAAAATATGAAGTTTGACAGCAACAATATATTTGTTTGGCCCTTGGGCTGCTGTCTCAACAATCTCAATTTCCCAAGGCATTTTAAGGAAGCCACTGCAGCGTACGTGAAGGACGTGTAAGCAGATCAAGTTTAAATATTTTCTACAAAGTCTGTTGGCCTACCAGTAGATTTCAGCATTCACACAACAGAAAAGAAAATCGTCTCGGTTGGGGCATCCACTCTTCGACAGCATCGTCAGTAATTGGCACATTTCCCTCAAGAAACTTTTATACCAACGTCCCTCACTAATTTTCGGAGGGAGGGGGGGGGGGCATGAGGGCCGCCACACCATTTGAAACCATTGTGGGGGTGACAGAATCACGACGATGATGACGAGGGGGGGGGTGTCGTCACGTGGTGTTGTGTCTTGTCGGGGTACCGCACGTCAGGGGCTGCACTAAAGGCCCCCAGGGGCCGCCAGTGGCCCCCGGGCCTTGCGATGAAGAGCGCTGCTTAATACCAACTCAGAGAGAGTGTTGTGTAACGGGAATCGGTGGCTTGGCTTATAGCGCCGTGGTTCTTTCAAGTTTATGAAACTTTCGGCCTGCTGGGCCGCGAGGAGGCAGGATATGCCAGAATAGCGATCATTTGAGGATGATCCCCTCATTTGTGTCGTATTGTCCAGGTGCTCCAGTTTTGGAAACACATTACTGGAGTTGTTTAATCGTTCCAATGTAGGACCATCCTGAAAGAAAAAAAACAGAGTCTTGAGAGGCAAAGGCTTTCCTGGGTAGGCAGAGGGCACGATATTATTAGTTTCTTTTTTGCCATTTATCTCTTGTAAGGTTGCCAGGTGGAACCACTTAATCTGATGATGAAATCGAGGCAGAAAGCCAAACACTGATTAAGAGTGGAATGTTAATGAGCAGCTAATAAAATTAAATCGATTTATCTATTTGCAGCTTTGCTGAGATAGTTCGTTATGCCGTGATGAGTCAGAACAATTCACCTTGCACGACAAGTACAAGGTCATGTGGTCATTAAGCCAAGGCCGCCGATGTCACCACACCATGCCATCACTTCCTTCCTTCTGCCAGATCTCATAAATGTTCTATTTGAGTACGAAGGGTACCAGAAAATGTATTGTTTTTTAAATCGATATGTGTTGTACGTAATGGCTTCCGTGACCTCTGCAGTCACGAGTGGCCGCTACGTTCACCTCAATGTAAAAAAATAGCTTTTTTTGTATTCAAATTCATCGATCCATTGGGGCATGAATTGTCACACCTTGCACTGTAATATACAAGTGAAGCACATAAATTCATCAAAACACGAAAGTAGACATATGACAAGCCCCAATTTAGACTACCTCATTAAAAGTTGCACCCGTTACATATTATAGTATTATGGATGTTTGTTTTGCACTTGGGATATGCAGTCCAGTTCACACACAATCGCAGTGTCAGCTGGAGTGAGCGGGAAGTGGCTCTGACGGGTAAAGCTGCACCAGTGAACGCCACAGGTGAACTGCACAGGTGAACTGCACGGGTGAACTGTACAGGTGAGCTGCACTGGTGAACTGCACAGGTGAACTGCACAGGTGAACTGCACGGGTGAACTGTACAGGTGAACTGCACTTGTGAACTGCACATGTGAAGCTGCACAGGTGAACTGCACAGGTGAACTGTACAGGTGAACTGCAATGTGAACTGTACAGGTGAACTGCACTAGTGAACTGCACAGGTGAACTGTACAGGTGAACTGTACGGGTGAACTGCACATGTGAACTGCACATGTGAACTGCACAGGTGAACTGTACAGGTGAACTGTACAGGTGAACTGCACATGTGAACTGCACAGGTGAACTGTACAGGTGAACTGTACAGGTGAACTGCACATGTGAACTGTACAGGTGAACTGCACAGGTGAACTGCACAGGTGAACTGTACAGGTGAACTGCACATGTGAACTGCACAGGTGAACTGCACAGGTGAACTGTACAGGTGAACTGCACAGGTGAACTGCACATGTGAACTGCACAGGTGAACTGCACAGGTGAACTGTACAGGTGAACTGCACATGTGAACTGCACAGGTGAACTGCACAGGTGAACTGTACAGGTGAACTGTACAGGTGAACTGTACAGGTGAACTGTACAGGTGAACTGTACAGGTGAAGCTGCATCAGTGAACTGCACTGGTGAATTGCACATGTGAACTGCACAGGCGAATATGCACATGGGGAGCTGCACTGGTGAAGCTGCACCTGCTCTGCCTCTGTCAAGTAATGGGCCTCGCTCACAGCGTGTGCTCTCCCGCACGCACGCAGAGCAACGGCGCTGTCACATTGGAGCCCTGGATAGAGCAGGTCACGTGCCGCGGGGTGACGTGTGGGTACTTCCACCCCCTTTGGCCAGAAGGTGGCAGGAGAAAGCAGCAGGGGCTGCGCTTTTCGCAATGTTGCCCCTGCCGCTCCATGCGCATCGTGCGTGGCACTCGCGTCGTGTGCCAGGGCACCGTGGAGGATCGCGACACTCGAGGATCCTGCAGCGCCCACATCCCCAAGTGAATCCCCCCCCCCCGCCGCCGATGCCACAGCGACAACAACAGTCCACTTTGGGCATACGGCGAAGGGGCCAGAGGGAGAGATGATCATGGAGAGTCGGAGTGAATGTGCGTGTGGAAGAAAGCGGAGAGTTGGATGAATTAGATGCGAAAGAAAACCCCGTACTATGCCCAGGTTTCACACTGGGGCGCATTTGACATGCTGCCCGCATCAGCCGACAGCAGCCTGTTCGTATGCCGGCGATGTCTGAAAGCAATGCGACTCTTTTGTTGCCGAGCTTATTTAAGGTGTTTCATAAGCCAGGGGAGGGGTTGTGCCGTGCCCCGCCAAGCGATTTCAGTCAATGAGGAAAATGAATACTGTAGAGATGATTACGAACCATCGTTGGGTTTGTGTCATTCCACACCAGACCTAAATGCAAACAAGGCTGAGAGGAGCCCCAATATTGAAGCAACAACTATTGTAACTGTTTGTAAAGGTGCAGCCCTATGATTTATTGCGCATGCCACTGCTGGCGGAGAGGCCTCCACGAGAGGGTATTTGGCCTACGCTTCCATGCTCGCCTTGAATCTTGAAAGAGGTGGGAGGACTCGCATTCTGCCACCGTGGTGAAGCCATTAGCACCTCTGGGTGGACAGAGGCGGGGGGCATTTAAGGAACTTGCCCCATTTGTTTATTCAACTGCCGCACCGGATCATCGAAGCGATGGCCTCTGGATTGCAAGTCCAGTGTGCTCGCCATCACAGCACGGTAGCGTCCCTGAATTGCTCGTGCGCAATCGCCAAAGTGATTTCCTGCTCAAACGAGCATCGGGACAGTGCTTATCACCTGTTAATAGCCCCGAGCCAGCGGTGGAAATTGCACAGTCGTATGGTGGAGGTGAGTAGATCCACAGGACACCCCTTGTTGACTGAACCACAAAAAACTGGTATTGATTTCATCGACCCCTGAGGCATGATGGGCTGAGTCAACCCCCATTCAGGATATGAAGTGGCAACCTTTAGATTACGAATTTGGATAGTATTTCAGCACAAGCACTGGTGACGATTATCTAAATCGGTCCTGGGCCTCCCCAAGGTCGACTCAGTCTCAAATGAGTACCTGGTGTGATTTGTAAACATCGCCACTGGAAAGACAAAGGCGGCCGGGCGTGGTGCTGGCCACGCACCCCCTCGTGTGCCGTGCCGGCCTTCATAGGTGCTCGCTAACAGCACTTTCCCCAACAGTCTGTTAAGGCTACACGGGGGATATTTTTTTTTGTCTCGCAAGCCCCGTGCAGTGCTGCTGAGCGCATGGCTCTCTAATTGGCTCACCATGGCAACGCTGCCCGTGCTGCTGCTGCTGCCTCGCGACTGGTCTTTGAATGCAGTCATTGGCCAACAGTGGCGTCACCAGAGGCATTGGCGATTAAAGATTCCATTTTAAATAAATAAATATATCCCCCCCCCCCCCCCCCCCCCCCCCTGTTGACGTTTATGATTATAGAGTGCTGAGATATATGGTGGAGAGAAGATATTGATTGGAGCAGCCACTGCTGGGCGTCGTGCCACGCCGGAGCGGTGACGGATTGGGGCCCCTGACTTTCTCAGAGTGTTGCTCGCAATCACTCTAGAGGGGAATTCAAAACGAGATCTTTTCAAAGACCAAACATGGAATAAATGTACGGCTTCCTGTGTCAATAAAGCGGAGTCATTAGACATGCAGAATCTCACCTCGGGTGGCCTTGCTTAATGGAAAGAGCCGTTGCCCATTGATTATATAGAACGCGTGTTAGCTCAAGTTACACACTACTGCATGGATAATTTAATGGGAAATAGGTCAACCCAATTTGCGATCACACAGCATACTCAGGGTTGATGGGGATGCTTGGGGGCTGGGGGATGCTTAACACAGCACGGTGCCTTCGCAGCAAGAAGCATCTGCGCTCAATTCCTGACTCGGGTGCCTTTCTGCGTCGGTTTGCTCCCCTGGGTTCCACGCTTTCTACCACGCTGTAACAGGAGGTGGCCAAACATTCTAATGCTGGAAGAATACCTGCAAATGACTCGAGATTACACAGCAACATCGCCCCCTACTTGGCGGAATCCCCCTGAAATAACGGTCTTGAGACTCAGACTTTCCTTGGTGAACAAGCGTGACGATATACTAAGAACAATGCGTGCTTCGTAAAGGATGTTCTGCAGTGTCCGAGCTCTGGCTGTATCCTCCGGTCCGCAGAGTGCTCGGCGAGCAACGCGTGCCATGTCCCCTCTTCTGTGAGCGTTGCTTTGGCTTGGAACGACAGCCACCCGCGGTCGTCGCTTCTCGCTCGGTGCAAGAACCACGCTCGCTGTCGACGCGCCGTGCCACCGTCGTCGGTTTTGGAACTCTTCCCAACCCGTCGACTCTTTTGCCAAGTCCCGCGGCCGTGCTCACTTCACGAGACGGCGTTGGTGTTACGCCGTGAGGGGTTGCCGGACCCTTTGCGTTACAGGCCTGTGCTCGACAAATGCAGGATACGTATCAACTAAACCAGAAACTAAACAATTTTATTTTAGCAGGTAAGGCCCACTGAGCTATTTAGCTCTTTTTCAGAAGCGACCTGGCCACAAATGTTAGCTCAACGAAGTGGCTTATCACGTGGAAATGTATCCCGGCCAAATACTCTAAGTGCGTGATGTTTATTCTAAATGTGGAGGGAAAACCGGAGGACCCGGAGAAAAATCCACGCGACCACGGGGAGAGGGAGAACGAGATGCAAACCCCAAATATGCATCAGGCACCAAGGTGCGGATCAAACCCACGCTGTGCACCGAGCGAGGCAGATCAAGGCTCTCGGCAGCCCTGACGGAGCAACCTCCGGACGGGGGCACGCAGATCCCTCCTCCTCACCTTGCTCGCCCCGGCGGGCATCTTGAGGTTGTCGCTGGAGCCCACTTTGGAGCGCAGGGCCTTGAGGTTGGAGGGGGCCACGAGGCCCGTGGGGGAGCGTGGCGAGCGGGGCCCCTTCTTCCTCTCCCCGGGGGTGGTGCTGCCTCCGCGCTGGGCGTGCGGAGTGGGGGGCGTCGGGGGGCCCGTGCCGGGCGTCGTGCAGCCGCTCTTCTTACCCCCTCCGGGCTTGCCCTGGGAGCCGTCTAGGGGGCGGCAGCAGCAGCAGCAGCAACGTCGGAGGAGGAGGAAATGAATAATAATACGGCAAGCGGTATGTTCTACATTTTCACGCAGTACGTGAGATGCTGTAGATACACAGTTTATATAAATGTACACGCAACTAATACGTACGCTACACCGCATGTCGACTATGCGGTGACATGGTCCAGCGTTCGTGCGTTTGAATCCAGCAGGCCACCCTGGTTATTACTGTGGGTGTATTAACCGCAAAAATACGATGCATCGTTTGTTTCACAATGGACGTTAAAGATCCTGTGATGCCAATTGAAAAATGTAGGCCATTGCATGTATGTTGAACTGCTTTTGCACCGTATTTAACCAACCGTGCTAATCGGTGACTCTGACTATCCACCCACCACACGCAAATGCATGGCTATGAAGAGATGAAGGAGCAGACTAAATTAAGGTGCAGACATCGTCCGCGTGAAGGTGCAGACTAAGATAATTTAGTAACGTTATTTGAAACCGTAGTGCACAGAGCAAAGTAAGATTGGTAATCGGTTACGAATGTACAGCAAGTACAAACATGAATTCATTGTGCACCTCTCACCCCATGTACAAAACATGGGGTACATTGTGCATCCCTCACCCCCAAGTCTAATAACTGACAGTGGACTGTTTTAGTCGACTCGTGTTTCGACTAAAAAAGTCAAACATGACGACGTGAAATCCACAAAGACTTGGCTAATACTCCACATGGTTGCAGTCGATGAGACTAAGACTGTGACTGCAATATAAAAGCGCAACACCGCCAGCTACAAGCTGCTCTTAAACGCCCAGATCATCAGGGGTTGATGGCCACCACCAAGAGGGCACGAGGACTTGAAAAGTGTGGATACGAAGTGGTTTCACGGCTGCTTCAGTGAGGTTCATGAACACGGTGGCAGCTCGTCCTGGGCCGGGCTGCCACCGGAGAGGTGAGGCCCCTGACGAAAGAAGCGGAGAGGGCTCACTGGAAATCGCATCATCGCCGAGACAAAATAAACTGATAACGCCGTTACAATATCAAGCCCGAAAGCCAATTATCACGCTCCACGTTACTCTCTCCATTGCACAATGAGGCTGAATGCTGCTGGAGCTGTTCACCATTGCGGCACACCGCAAGAGGATACACACCTGGGACAGGCGGAGACGATGAATTATGTATCGCATACACGCATATCGTAGCCGTGGAAAATTACAGTTTCATCTCCCCGCAAAAAAATCAACCGATGCACGTATTCAGCTCTCGGGATGTTCGGCTATCTGTTCGGTGCGTTTGCATGTGTGGATGAAGCCATAGCGCCCAGAGATATTCTCTTTTGCACGGCAAGAGCTGACGTTGTGAGTGAGCTGCCTTCTGCGCGCCGCCTCATTGCCCTGCGCGTGGCTGCCTTTCCGCACCCGCGACGGCGTCCATACAGCCATCAACTCGGCCTCCGGAGTGCCGCTTGAGGATTGTGCACCACCACACGAGGAGGAGGATTGTTAAAACTAACGCTGGGAATATATGTCGATTAAATCAAAGCACAGACTGAAAGTTGTAATCGTCGAGTTTTTTTTTGCGTTCAAATCAAACGGACGCCGAGCCGACGTCCTACCGAAGGCAGGAAACCCCCACAAGCCACGCCCAGCGCGACGCTGCTGATGATACCGACGACATCACCAAGCTCAGCGACACGTGCGAGAACACAGGAGACACTTTTTCTTCCCCCAAACTATTTTCGTGTTATCCAATTCGTCGAGTAATTGAACTGATAATCGATAGGGTGGTCGATGACTTAAATATATCATCGGACATGGCCCAGCTCTAGCGAAGTCTAGTTTTTGTTATCTACACCATGTGAGTTTATAATGTATTTGTCGATTCGTGCAAGTGTTGCATACAGGTATATATATGTCTTTTCTTTCACACACGACAGAGCGAAAACCCTTTCATTTATTTTTCTTTTAATGTGTTGGCCCGGGAACAGCTGAGCTCACAAAATGCCATTATCAAAGGCGTTCCAAGAGTCAAAAGGAGTCGGGATATTTTATATTTCACAGAGCCAACATAAGGAGAGGGGACAACAATCGGACCTTAAAAGTGGAATTTAAATTAATACACCATCCCCTTGTGAAGGTCTCCCACACTCATGCTATTGAGAGTCATAACCACGTCTGCCCTGGGGAAGTCCCGTTACTCAGATACGGCGCAGAGCGCACACACTTCACCCTGTGGTGGCCCTCGATGTGTTAGCCAGCACTGTGGAGAGTGGGGTAGGTGGATTTCACACAAGATTTCACTATCTCCACACGTTCGTCAATAACACGTGTTATATATGAGGAAACCAACATGCAAATTACGTCACGTTCCAGGAAATGTCCCTGCTTCATAGCAGGGCGATGCTCCTCCTGCTATCACAAGGGCCTGTCTGCTTATTTCAATGCTTGACAGAAACTTCACAAGCTGGAAAGCGCCGATTGGCTGCACTCACTCGCAACCTCTGCAGACGTTAAATGTAAGAGGGCTTTCCTTCCGATGAGCGGGCGGTGTGCCTCTCCTCTCTTCTCCTCCAGTACACTGGGATCCTTGCTCTCTTGAGATCAATTAACAAGCCACAAAGTGGCTCTGTGATCGCACAGAAACCTTCAAAATTGCTTGCAAATCTCTCACTGTTGCTGAGGCTGAATTGATGTTTTTACAATCGGGCAAATGCATTTCACCACGAGTGGCTGTGGTGCACATGCAGAAAATAACAAGAAACCAAACTCAGCCAGCATCGTCCTCGTCGTCTGTCTGCTATGAAGAATGGCTGTTGCTAAGATACCGGAAACTATTCATAATGTATGTCCTGTACGTTCAACTTCGTTCGCACCATACGTAGCCAATCGTGCTAATCGGAGGTGCGGAAATTACAATCCTGTATATTCGTGTTTATTTAGGAAAATAATGCAGTTATTTTTACACGCAAACAATATGTTGTAAATAAAATAAAGGGAATAACCTACTTATTATTCATTTTATTTGTATTCATGAAAGTCAGGTGATAGTTGACGCACACCAAGGGAATTACTGAGTCCCCCATGCTGCTGTATCGACTGAAGGGGCACATTTCTGCACAGGGTAGCAACCGCTGCTGCACAATCGTGAGCATGACAAGCACGGGAGCGGTGGGGTCATTACGAAACACAATCAGCCGGCTGTCTTTGTCTCCCCAATGCTGATGATGACACATCAAGCCAGTTACTAATTTTAGGCCGAGTCAACCTCAGGAAGGCCAAGCCAATTTAATATACCACTTGCTGGGTATTTAGGCTCACAGTGCAGTGCACTATTGCTAATGCACACACACACATACACACTCCAGGCAAAGTAACTTATAACACGAGGCTTCTTTAGACGGCTCGACAATAAACTGCACCGTGGACATTATTATTTGGTTTCAATGCCCTGGCGCGGTTGATGGCTTTCCGACCCCACCGGGTACCGCACTGACGTGCGCCCAAGTTGCCTCGCGACAGAATTAATTGGTCGGCCGGGGCCGTGGGACCCGAGTTAACATTTGGCAGCAAACATTTTAAAAAAAGTTCTGAAACGTGCCGGGACAGTTTCCCGCGGAAGTTTGCGCAGTGCGAGGCCATGGCGGCCACTGGCAGCGACACTACGCGCGTGCGGCCTCGGGCGACAGGCACCGGACGCGCCGTGGACTGGGCAGCACGGGGGGGCGCCAACCAACCTTGCTGTGACCTCGCAGTTAACATTTTACAATATCAAAGTCAAAGGATCTCTGTGCTCAAATGGGTATTTGATGTATGTATGTTGAACCTCTTCCGCTCCAGACGTAGCCAACCGTGCTAATCGGAGGTGCGGGGGAAGGACATACAAAAAAAGCGTGTCGTGTCACTGAGTCTCAAGACTGCTTTCACGAGGGTCCTGTCAAACGTTCGCAGCATGCTGCGATGTTGCTGCATTTATTCCCAATTGAGTTATTTTCAAAAACTGTACCACAAATTACTCAGTTGTGAAATGCATAGCAGCGGTCACCCAGTGCTGTGAAAACTTAGTAGGACTGCTGAAAAAGAAGACCTCAGACTCAGTGAGGCCCTCCTGGCCAAACAAACATCATAATAATAATGATATCAATCGTGTACGGTGTTTCTCTATGATGGATTCCCTGAACCAGTGCTGGAAATTGTTTTATTCTCAGCGCTGGGGCCAAGGAGTCATGGCACGGTCAACATCGACTCCCCACAAATTCAAATCAAATCATGAGTACATTTTGTATTTTCTCCGTTTTTTTTAATAGAGCAAGGCTATCGTGAAGGAAGGTGCTTTGTTTCAGACGACGAGTATCGTCTGCAGGAGATTCACAGCAGGGAACGATTTTGCTTCTATTGCTTTGACAAATTTGTTGATTTGCGAGTAATTATCGAGTTAAGGAAATATGGATCGTGACGCCGGCGCACATGGCCTCACTATGTTTTGTTGTCCCAATAATCCCACCGGGATCCTTTAACACCCCCTGTGAAGTAAACGGAGCACAGCCACGGTCAACGCAGCCGCAGGATTAAACAGGGTGGCCGTCGGGCTTCAAACCGTGAGCACGCTAAATCTTAACGCATCGACTCCTGCAGGACGATGGGCTTGGGCTGACCCACGACCTTAGTGCCACTTGGCCAGATAAATACTGTATTTGGCAACAAATAAGAAAAATAAGAAAATATTCACTTGACGATAAAAAAGCAACGTTTGCAAATGTATGAAATGTTATTAATTGCTACTGCTGGTGCACATTTATAGGTCAATTTATGCATCTAGGATGTCATCAATATGCATGGTGAGTTCGGGCGGAATATTCCCATGGGTGTCCAGAAGTCAGTGCGAAAATTAGGACTGCAGTTGTGAAACGTAGAAAAAGAGTTTTTTTTTTAAACTACAAACACAATAACATTTTCACAGTTTCGCCCCCTACGGGAGAAACTAGCTCTCCCAATGGCAATGCAGACTTTTTCGCGATGGCCCAGGGATTGCCGACGGAGCTGTGTGCTGCTCCAACGCTCGTTGGATGGACAAAGAATGCATTTAGGTGCCCCGATTCACTACGAGCTATGAATGCAGTCAAAGCGTTTGTAGCGGTTTTTGGCCCACTTTTCCACGCGAAATGGGTAGAGCCTTATGCCGCTAAAAATCTCATGGACAGTCGCTTGCCACTGATTGTTAGCCGTGGTCAGGAATTGAACTCGCCAGGTTAATCATAGCACAGCGTGCTAATCGCTGTGCCACAGCTCCACCACAAATAATTAATTAATGAGTACCTGATTCTTTTTCTTAATAATGTAAAAAAAAATCGATTTCAATTAAACAAATTTTTTTTACATGTAAACAATCGCAGTGAAGCAGTGGAGCAGTGGTTAGTGCACTGCACTATGAACCCGGCGACCTGAGTTTGATTCCCAGCTACGGCTTTCATCATTTGCGATTGATATCTGAAGCGGTCATGGTCTCCAACGTCACCATGCCTACTTCACCAGCGTGGTGAAGTAGGGTCCGAGCCACCCCCATGGCCAAAAAATATAGGGAGGCCTTCATCCATGAGTAGATTGACAAAGGGTTGGAATTTATATTCACAAACGAATGAAGGTACATTGATAATACAAGCACACGTAGTAGGGTCTTTTTAAATAACATTTTCCTCATAAATTCAATGCATTCAAAATGTCCCTGTAAAGAAATGCGGACCCAGGTGGCTTTTGCTTGAGTGTCGTCTACATTCAGGCCTTGGCTGGGTAACTCCTCAGGCAATCCTTTGAATTAAGGCTCCATTAGGTCTTGCACAGGCCCAAGGACCGCAGAGCCCCTCAAATGAAGATCTAATGGTGCACATTAGCACAAAAATGATCCCTCCGGTAAACTTCTGCATGAACGCTCTATTGCCGCATCTTGGGCTGTGCCCTGGAGCTCTGAGAATGCAAATGGGCCAATGAATATACAATAGAATGGAGCTGAATCAATCCAATATCCCAACGCATTTTGTGCAGGGAAGAGGTAAAGGTACGTATGTATGTATGTTGAACTTCTTTCGCACGGTACGCAGGAAGGACAGCAACGACGAAGGTGCAGGGGCTGCGGCGCGTCAACGGAGCTTACTGGTGGGACGCGACGGGGCGCTCGCCGCCACCGTGGACAGCCGCGGTGCGCTCACGGACGTGGGGATGGACGCCCTGAAGGGCCGTGGCGAGGAGTAGGAGGAGGCCGCGCTGGCCCTCGCCGTCTGGGTCCTGGTGCCGTCGCCGCCGCCGCCCGGCGATGCGGTCTTGGCGGCGGCGGAGGGCCTGGCAGGCCTGCCAGTCCTGGTAGGCCTGCTCGCCGTTGTCGCCGCCGTCGTCGTCGTGGTCTTGGCAGGGGACACGGACGATGTCACCGAGCGCGCCTTGGGTTTGGGAGCTGCGGTCCTGGTGGCCTCTGTCGCCTGGGGCGGTGGGACGCACTCGTTAGGGGACCCCCTCGTTAGCGGACCCCCTCGTTAGCGGACCCCATAGTTAGTGGACCCCCTCGTTAGCGGACCCCCTCGTTAGTGGACCCCCTCGTTAGTGGACCCCCTCGTTAGTGGACCCCCTCGTTAGTGGACCCCCTCGTTAGCGGACCCCCTCGTTAGCGGACCCCATAGTTAGTGGACCCCCTCGTTAGTGGACCCCCTCGTTAGCGGACCCCCTCGTTAGGGGACCCCCTCGTTAGCGGACCCCCTCGTTAGTGGACCCCCTCGTTAGCGGACCCCCTCGTTAGCGGACCCCATAGTTAGTGGACCCCCTCGTTAGTGGACCCCCTCGTTAGCGGACCCCCTCGTTAGTGGACCCCCTCGTTAGCGGACCCCCTCGTTAGCGGACCCCCTCGTTAGTGGACCCCCTCGTTAGTGGACCCCCTCGTTAGCGGACCCCCTCGTTAGTGGACCCCCTCGTTAGCGGACCCCCTCGTTAGCGGACCCCATAGTTAGTGGACCCCCTCGTTAGCGGACCCCCTCGTTAGTGGACCCCCTCGTTAGTGGACCCCCTCGTTAGTGGACCCCCTCGTTAGTGGACCCCCTCATTAGCGGACCCCCTCGTTAGCGGACCCCATAGTTAGTGGACCCCCTCGTTAGTGGACCCCCTCGTTAGTGGACCCCCTCGTTAGTGGACCCCCTCATTAGCGGACCCCCTCGTTGGTGGACCCGCTCGTTAGAGCGATCGCCCCTCCCTGGTGCCACCCGCGGCGTTCCACGTGTCACACGCGACGCTGCCAACGCCGTGCTGTAGTGGAGACGTCACAAGGCGGAATAAGGAATCGTCAATGTTCGTTGCTTTGGTGTATTGCCCAGACAAGTGTCCCCTTTTGTCAGAATTCTACTGAACAATACCACCGCCATGCTCTTTTACTGTTCGTAAATCATCGAGAAGATTATTTTGAAACATTAACTGCTCAAACGCGTTATTGCAGAGAACAAACACATGGCCACGAATGATTTATGGAATAAAACGTCACGCATGAAAATGCCAAATAAACCATGAATTAAAAAATAATTACGTGAAAAGTAAACAGCGTTACTCATTTCCATAAGCAGAGATGCTGAATGTGCTCGCGATGCCCGTCTCAGTGACTGCTAAATCTGAGCTGCGGTGGAACTGCGGAACTCAGAAAGGTTTATTTTGCATTGGGTAATCGAGCATTGTTGTGGCGTGGAGACGTGTGGGCTAATGAACACACGCACACATGGCACTCTGTAGCGCAGCATTGTCTCGGGACTGGGAGACAGTTTCATTTGACAAGAGGGTACCCCTAAATATTCGTTTCTACAGCACTCACGAAGGATATGCATTAAAACAGTCCCTTTTAAAGCAAAATTTATCATAAACACACGACAAAATATATCCGCTGATATCATTGTTTGCAATGAAAAGAATGATCATTGTTAATTTTCTAGCTAGCGCCCTTCATGCTGGGGCATTTCGAGCAATATTGCATCGCCTGTCATCTCAATGCAAGGTGAAGGTACAGCAGCCACCTGTCTATGCCACGCCTGGCAGAAGAGCCTCTGGTACAGGGAGCTGGGCCGATGTGTATGAAGAGGTGGAAGTACCCACGCTTCACCCCACCACACGTGACCCTGCAGACTATAGCTATCTGTGGTGAACCCGTTTACACTGCGGATTAACAGAGGTGAGGGGATGTATAAAACTGGCCCGACATGGCTCACTGCCATGACAACCACGACAAAAAGCTAAATCATTACCACAACACAAAACGACTGACGTCATTTCCAACGAAATGACCGCTATCGTCGTTACGTTGAGTGCATTGCTGAGGTCTAATTGCATGGAAATGGCCGTACGTGGACAGCTGTGATCCACTTTGCCCAATAATCCAGGTGCCCATCAGCGCAAATCTGCAACCTTCATAAGTGTGAGAACCATCGTAGTGTATTGACCAAATACCACTCTACGAGCGGTCGTTTATGGAACAAAACCACGGGAGAATTATTAGCAGTGCTGAGGGCTTTTTTTGTGAAAAAGAAGCACATTTTTGGTGACATTTTTCAAGGACAGAAGCAATATTTCTAGAAATGCACTGTACCAATGAAATGTCAGTGGCAATTCATTGAATTAATGACTTAAGCTGAAGTGGAAGTGCTGATGAAAATAGAATTCCATGCAATACAAAAAACAAGAAAATTTAAATGGTCGAGGTCATCGTATAACAGACAACAATTCCACCGACAAATATATTCCACCCAGGAACTTTTTTCCACCTCCAGTTCGCTGGATGAACGTGTCAATTTGCACGTCTCTCCGCAGGTGACATGGACTGAACCGAAGTCCGCACTACAGGTGCTGGCAAGTTATGACAAGCCTGGAATTGTAGCGTCTGACCAAATGCAAAGCCTGTCAATGGAGGCTTCATTGGCATTAGAATAAAGTTGCATGCGCGTATTGGGAGGTAAACGTATCTCTGTAGAAAGGACACTTCATTTCGTCAGTTTGACGTGTCTGAAGGGTTGTGAAAACTCGGCAAGCTTCATTAGTGATTTTTTTTTAAATCAGTAACACTGCCATGTCACTTGAGTGCATCTACAATGTCTGTGATGACTTCAATAAAAAGTAGTTGGTGATGCGTAATGCAATAATCCGTAACCAATAATTCAATTTGTGACATCGTTAATCAAATCATCGATATAACATGTTATTTGTGCTGTTGGCACTGTGAATCGATATGAATTACGGAAGCACGATAGTTTTCTACGTGCGGCCCGATTACTGGCCCACGTCACTGCTGGCGGAACAGCCTCCTCGAGGGAGCTTTAGAGATGGGCCTTCTCTGTCTTTATTTCCCACGTGCCAAACCCCACACTTTACCCCACCACACACGACCTTGTTGATCGACTGTGTGGTACCCATTTATACCATCCAGAGGATTTCAAGATTGCCAAATCCAATCACGACATCGTGTTTTTCAATGACTAATATTTTTCAGGTAATTATGAAAACTTGGGACACTGCATCCATTATTTTTCGTCTCCCCCCTCCTCTTTTCCAAACATAGATGGGCTCGTCCATCTGAACAATCTGTCAAATCGCTCTCCGTGGTGCTAACGTTAAAAAACCGCCACTTTTTTCAAATTTTCTTGCTGTGGTTTTCAAACCTGATGATGATTGCTTGTGTTGCAGTCGAAACGTCGTGAGAATTGTATTGTTTTGTATTTTTATTATTTTATTGTTTCCCTTCTACGTGACTTTACCGAAAGAACCAAGAATAGACTGCAAGGAGTTACCCGTGATGCGTATAGCTGTGGCTCACCTGATGATTCGGAAGCGGAAATCTGATCCGATCATAACCTCAATGCAAGGTGAGTTATATTGGCTGCCGATGAAATATCGAGTTATTTACAATATTCGCATCCTTGCCTAAAAGGATGGGCACCATTCCGGTCAGTCCTGTCTCACCGAGCAGCGCGCAGTGCCGGCTCCAGTGGACGTCGATCAACGCCGGCTACTCTCCGCAGCCCGCGGTGACGCTGCTGCTGATGCTGCTGGACCCACGCACAAACCTTGCGCAGCGATACGGCCAGCGCAGTCTCACCGGGGGGGGGGGGTGGTCTCTGGCCCGAAGACCTGGATCTGGTTACCGGCGGCAGATGTTCGCGATCTATCCTTGAGTCTGAGCCAGTTTTGCATTGGACCTAAAACAGTGTTGTTCCAAAGAGCTCACTGTGTGTGATCATCGCGGCGCATTCGTGACGGACTGGACTCATAAAAGTGCACGATAAAAATAAAAAATTCAGACTTACAAAACAGCTGATTCTGGCTGCTTGTTAATTGGGCTTTGACAGACAAGACTCACTTTGTTGAAGGGTCTTGAAAGAGGGCTCATCAACCTGGAAACTATAATTGGAAAGCGTAGACATTTTGCTGCTGTGGGCTCCCGGGACAGATGAGTCCTATCACATGGCATACTTCGGCCTTCATGGCAAGGTCGCCGCTGGTTTTGGTTTGATCCAACCAGTCTGGATCGTGGCCCTTGTGTCCAGGATGTAAGAATACAAACAGCCAATGTCATTTCCCAGGCTTTTTCCTTGAAGAGTGTTTTATTTCAACTCTGCATCTCTTTTATTTATGCCACTCAGCACGCAATGATCTGCTCACGTGCGGGTCTTAAAACTATACAGTGAGGGAAAAAAGTATTTGATCCCCTGCTGATTTTGTACGTTTGCCCACTGACAAAGAAATGATCAGTCTATTATTTTAATGGTAGGTTTATTTGAACAGTGAGAGACAGAATAACAACAAAATCCAGAAAAACGCATGTCAACAATGTTATAAATTGATTTGCATTTTAATGAGGGAAATAAGTATTTGACCCCTCTGCAAAACATGACTTAGTACTTGATGGCAAAACCCTTGTTGGCAATCACAGAGGTCAGACGTTTCTTGTAGTTGGCCACCAGGTTTGCACACATCTCAGGAGGGATTTTGTCCCACTCCTCTTTGCAGATCTTCTCCAAGTCATTAAGGTTTCGAGGCTGACGTTTGGCAACTCGAAACTTCAGCTCCCTCCACAGATTTTCTATGGGATTAAGGTCTGGAGACTGGCTAGGCCACTCCAGGACCTTAATGTGCTTCTTCTTGAGCCACTCCTTTGTTGCCTTGACCGTGTGTTTTGGGTCATTGTCATGCTGGAATACCCATCCACGACCCATTTTCAATGCCCTGGCTGAGGGAAGGAGGTTCTCACCCAAGATTTGACGGTACATGGCCCCGTCCATTGTCCCTTTGATGCGGTGAAGTTGTCCTGTCCCCTTAGCAAAAAAACACCCCCAAAGCATAATGTTTCCACCTCCATGTTTGACGGTGGGGATGGTGTTCTTGGGGTCATAGGCAGCATTCCTCCTCCAAACACGGCGAGTTGAGTTGATGCCAAAGAGCTCCATTTTGGTCTCATCTG